ATAAAATAACATATTTTTAAGGATCCCTTTTTTCCTTAGGAAAAAGAAACTTCATTATCTAATGTTTTTTCACATGGCATTACATCTGTTTTAGTAAATGCATCAAAACTCATATGAAGAGCTTTATTATCTGTTTCTGAGCCTCCAAAAGAGCTGAGCTCTTTGCACTTTGCTTTCACCCTGCCTGTGATAACGTGTTTCCACACCCATTCACATTTACTGCTTTGATTTTGCTTCTGTGTACACTGCCATTATCATTACCAAAGCTGAGGTAAATAGTTTGGGGCAGTGCCTAGATTCATTTTAATGCCAGCACTTACATTATGTAAGGCATCTGTTTATCTTAATTTTTGTTTATATGACCAAGACAACTTTTATTATTTGATTAAATTTCTTGTTCTCTAAGCTGGATTTTTTATATTTTCACCTCTCCCACATGCTTCTGCCTGTAAAGACTTTTACTTTTTTTAAGTTTTGTTTCAATTCCTTTTAGGCTTTCTTTGCACATTACATTTGGAAAAGACCAGTAAACAAATCCAGTCCAGCCATTCACCCATGCCCATTAAACCACATCTCAGTGCCACTCCTGCATGTTCTCTGAATGCCTCTAGAGACAGTGACTCCACCACCTCCATGGGCAGTCCGTTCCAACGTCTCATCACTCCTTCTGAGAATAAATGCTTCCCAATATCCAACATGAAGCTCCCCTGGTGCAACGTATGGTCGTTACCTCTTGTCCCATCTCAGAAGTGCTTTGTTCAATCCTAGGCTTTGGATACTGTTTTACCACTGTGTGTTAGAGCGGAAGATTTCCATTCGCGCATCCTCCAAACAGGCGAGGAAGGAGCAGAGGTCTTCTCCAGGTGCTCACACACTGCGTGCGGGGACCAGAGCAGTGCATCGCCGCCCCCCCACCAGGTCCCTGTGCCACCGGTGCAGGGGCTGCCACTACGTACAGGGCTGTCACTAGGTGGCAGCGGCGGCCTTCCGAACTGCGCCGAGGCGAAACGGCAGCCCCGACAGGAGGGAGAAGAGGTACTAAATTCCAGTGCAGGTTTCAACAACGATGCCATAAATCCTTCGGCAAATAAAGTGTCGTCACTGTTCCTCCAAGCTCAAGCACGGGGGCGGTACCCCAGGTTTAATGGAAATTTTCCTGTCTGTGTGCAGCGTTCCCAGCAACATTTAGAACTGATCACATCATGCCTTTCTTGGCCATAAACCTTAATTGTTTTTATCAGTGTCAGCATATTGTCTCCAGCCAGGAGTCCGGCCTAGCTAAATACAAGGCAGAAATGAATCAATGAAGTATGAACATAATTTAACTACAAATTTTGTTTTGCATGGCTCTATCCTCTCTGTCATAAATTGTCATGAAAATATGGATAAGATATTCAAAACATAACAGCATTTCATCACGTGTGGAAATACAGCATTTCAAACTTGTCACATATCTGGAAATTGTTCACTTGTCACTAACTGTGTATACTGAAGACTCGGCTCTTTTTCCTGCTAAAACTTACAGAGGGGAGACTGCTTTCAGAGTCCCTTGAGTGCAGTGAGCTATTTTTCCTTGTGGAGCTGGCTCACTAACAGAGGAATGTCGAGAGAGTTCTCAGTACACTCAGAAACTTTTTGGAATGGTTTTACAGAAGATTGCTTCATATGGGTGGAGACATGTAAGACTTCACTCAGTGATGCCCACATGCCTAAAATTACTGTCATCTGTACATGAAGATAAGTCATGGATCTTCTTGACAACAGCAAGTCCTTTCCCAGTGTTGAGTCACCTCGCTCCCATCCCAGCACCTTAACCAAGCTGAGCTCAGTGGATTTCTAAAAAGCTATTATTTCCATGTAATCAATGAGCATGGAATACAGGTAGCTAACTCCACGATGAAGCTGAATTTACATTTTTGAATGAATATTATATGCAGATTATGCTAAAATTTCAAGGAGAAAAGATTCTAAGCCTGTAGAAGAAACTCCAATACTGCAATGATGAACCTCAGGTGAACAGATCTCATTTGTGGTGCCTGTGGTGATAGGGGATTTTTATTACAGTGCTCAACTCTGATGATAATCTTTGAAAAGTCATTATTCTGAATTAGTAATATAAATTAAAGGTTAAATTAGATTATTTAGTCCCACATTTTCTAGCCACATGGCATGCCATAAACACTAGCCTCATTAGAAAACCTGTGCAGTACCCTAGAGTTGTTGTCATTCCAGATTTGGAGGATAAAAGCAGGTTTAAACAACTTTTCTGTGCATAAAAAAGAAGCCTGTTAATTCACATCAAACAGATACACTCTGCTTGAGAATACCCCAGAGAAGTGTATCTCAATGGCAGAACTCAGCTGGAACCTTGCTGCCCTCCAGAAAGGCTTGTAACAGCATAGGAAGAACGGTGCATGGATGTAGTCCTTCTTTCACACTAAGAGGTATGAGTAGTAAATACAGCAGACCATCTGCTTGCAAAAAGATTTGTAAAGGCTCTTCTGCCCACAGACGTCTTCGAAAAATTCACTAATGCTCACAGTTTCTAAAGCATAGTTAGGCTTCCAGGTAACCTAAGTCTAAGCCAATGGATTAAATACATTTTCCCACCACTGAGGAGACCAGATGTACTCAGATATCTTTTATAGATAATTAAAGTTGCAATGTTGGTTCTTTCAGTTAGGGTTTTGAAACCAGCTTTGAAAGAGACAGACACTAATTCCACCACATACGCAATGTTTGTGCATGCCATGAGATACTGTAATGACAAATGATTCCTTTTATTTCAAAGGTTTATCTAAACACCACCTAGCAAGAGTGTGTGTGGGCCTGCTGAACACCTTTGGCAGGCAACAATCTTCCTCAGGAGATTAAACAAATCTGCTTAAAAAGCAATCCAGTTTTCCAGGCTTGAAGTTAAATATTTGCTATAAATGTTAACTTCCCACTGCACAACTGTCCGTCTTTATCTACTCCCTTTGAGGATTCTTTTGTTATTTCAGAAGACAGTTAAAATAAAGGTATGGAAGTCAGAATTTAACATTTTCACTAGAAATAAATCAGCAGATTACAACTGTATAAAATAAAAATAAAAAATAGAGTTGTCCATGCTAGGAAGCTCAAAGGGCACCAAAACAAAGCTCCTGGAGGTCTTTTTCTCAGGAACCACTTGTCAGAGAGAGACAAATTGCATTACTTGAGTGACATACAAGCCTTACCCAGGCTTCTTGTGCTTTGGAGGGATTGCTCCCCATTTCTTCTGCTCACACATATCCTGAATTAGACCTACATTACATACACAGGTAGACATCTATTGCCCTTCAGCTTCGCTATTACCTGTTCCAATAGCACATAATGCTGACCGTACTGGCTGCGCACAGAGGGACTTTCAGAGTCCATGAGACTCTGCAGAAACACTGATTTTCCCTTTCCTCTCTACGCATGTGAAATAGACAGCACAGACTCAACCTGCTCAGAAAAAAAACTTAAAAAAAAAAAAAAAAAGTATCTGCAACATCTAATTTCACAGGCAGACAAATTTCACTTGCTCTTGTGACAGAGTGGGAAGATTTCATTTTTTGTGGCATTACTACCAATTGTAACTATTCTGTATAGTCAGCCAGAGGCTTCAGCTTAGGTGTGGCCTGTCACATCTGCCCAGAGCAAGCTTGGAATCTGATGAGAAGCTCACGGCCCATTATCAGCTCCTGGTCTTCAATTCCCCTCCCAAAACATGACAGGGAAACCCTCTGCACAAGATGATGAGAAAGCAGGGTCACAGTCCTTGCTATTCAACCACTGACTATGGTGACTATTAACCAGCAACTCCCTTTGTTCATCTCAGTTGCCTTTACACTTTGGAAAAATAGCAGATGATTCAGCAACACCTTTTTATTTCCTCTCCTCACTTGCCTCCCCACTACCCACACATCTTTTTGCAGTGTGCATCTTGCTGGGAGGAATAGTTGCTGGTGCTGCTGGAAGCAAAGCAATGTCAGCAGGGGATGATAAGGTGGGGCAGGAACCCTGGGGGTAGAGACTGCAGAGAGGATGGGTGGAGGGGAGATGCAGGATACCAGCAGCTCTCAGACCCATAGCTGTGCCATTGTATCAGAGGAGGCCCCAAAAGCAGCAGGATTAACAGTTCAACTGGGCAGTCCCAAGGAGCCCAAGGCTCAATGACCCCAATCCTTCCTAATGCTGCCTGCCCAGCTCTTTCAGCACATTGTCTACAGGACAGAAAAGACCAAACTATTTTAACGGCGTGACTCTTCGTCCTGCCACCAACAGCTGGACTGAGGGTAGGAAAAGAAGGAAGCTGTATTAATGCTCTCAGTTAGAATGAATGTCTCTATCGAACTTAAGACCACTTTTACACTCACCAACCACTGAATTGCCAGCAGTGTCATCACGACACCAAATGTCCTTATCATCACAAACCTTACCATTTTTCTTGCCTTACGGAGGCCTGCAAGCCCTGCTAACACAGCCAGCTGTGCTCGCAAAACTTACCTGGATTTTATTACAGCACTTGGTACCAAACGGTGCAAGAGGAGTTGGATTTACAAACCAACGCACAGAGCAATCCTCCAAGGGCTGCTATCAAAGCAGCACCGATAAGTAAAGTCCCTGTTCCCAGGCCAAAGCTCCTCCGCAGTCTGATAACCACCCCAGCAACAGCTCCCCCGATCCCTTCTTCCCCCCCTCAGCACGACGGCCGCCCGCAGGTCCCAGCCTCCACAAGGCACCAGAGGGCGGTAAGGCAGCACGGGGCGCAGCCCGCCAACACCCGCCCGGCTCCGAGGCGGGGCACTTCCAGGTTACGCGAGTGACGTCGTGGCTCGGGCGGGCTGAGGAGGCAGCAAGATGGCGGCCGGACGCGGGCCCTCCGCCGCCCGCCGGCGCCGCTGAGAAGGAGGCGGCAGCACCCGCCCCGCCCCGCCCCGCCGCCACCCTCTCGTGCCGCGGGCCGCCCGGCCATGTAGACGGCGCGGCGCGGCCGGCCTTCATCGCGCAGACCACCCCGCGGCCGGCAGGCGTCATGGAGGACGTCGGCTCGAGCGTGAATGCGGACGCGGAGGTGCGGAAGCTGCAGGAGCTGGTGAAGAAGCTGGAGAAGCAGAACGAGCAGCTTCGCAGTCGCCACGGCGCTCTGCCCGCCGCCCCCGCCAGCCCCAAGCGCCTCCTCGGCGGCGGGGCCTCCCCTTCGCCCCCCACCGCCGCCTCTCCGTCCGACGGCCGCTGCCTCAGCCCCAGGGCCGCGGCACGGCGGCCGCCCCCCGAGGAACCCGGCGGCGGCGAGAGCGACGGCCCGCCGGACGACGCGGCGCCTCTCCGGCCCGACGAGCTGGAGCGCCTGGCGTGCTGCGAGGAGGACGAGGCCAGCTGGTGAGGACGAGAGGGAGGCGGGGAGCAGCCCAAGGCCCGGCCTCGGCCCGGGGCCCGCAGCCCGGGGTAGCGCGAGGAGGCCTCGCCCTGAGGCGCGGGCTGCGGGGGTTTCGCGCGTGGCAATTGCCCCGCCGAGGCCCGCAGCCCCATGCTTTTGTTCGGCCGCGGTGACGGCTCGACATCAGGAACCGGCTCCGGCTGTGCTGCGGATGCAGCGTGCCGTACTGAGGCGGTGCAGAGGCGTTCTGTGAGGCAGCACAGAACCGGCCCACAGCTGCTGCTGTGCTTCTTTAAATGTGCGCCTGACCTGAATTTCTTTCAGCTGTAAAGGCAGTAAATGTAACGCGCTCTGCCTCAGAAATGCGGCGCTGCGCGTTTTCATTTCTTGCTGGCTGTCCCGTGTAACCTGCTGTAGGGAGCCTGTGTTAGCTGAGAGTTGGGCTGGGTGATCCCCGGGGTCCCTTGCAACCCCTGCAATTCTATCATGCTACGATGCAGGACCACAGTTTACTATAGGCAGTCCCTCTCTGTTTAAATGGACGGTTTGCCTGCTGCTCCGGCAGAAACAGCAGCTGGAGGTTGTTATCTTGTCCTTATTGCACTTAGATGAGCTTCTGCTAGCTGCCAGGGAGGTTTCAAACCTCTCTTAGCGTTATGCTGTTGGGCAGCTGCCTGAAGTTTCCCGTGACACCAGTTGAGAAGAGCAGTGTAGGAGTTACAGGAGAAGCAGTGGGGAGGAGCATAGCATTAGCAGAAACGCAAGAAAAATGTGTTCTGAGTGGATAAGTGTAACAGAAACACTTTGATTTGAGTCAGAGTTGCTTTTCAAGCTCAGCTGCAGAAGTATTTTTCTAGGACTAATGGAAGTATTTTTAAAGGACTAATGCTCAGACAAGTAGATTGTAAAAAATAATAATAAAAATAATAATAAAAAGTATTTGAGTAACTGACACCATTAAAAACACTTAAACATTGCCCATGCATGAAATCATTTCAGTTGCTCAGGGAGGATACAATGTGTGTATTGCCTCACAGGAGTCATTTGCTTGACATCCAGCCTGAGCCACAGAGAAGTATGAGAACATAAGTTTATTCTGATCCAACACAAGCTTACTAAATTAAAACAAGGCATCATCTTCCAGAGGATGAATTTGTGCAAAGTAGCTGCTCTTATTTCCCAGCTTATGCCCCGTAATCTACTGGTTGAGAGCACATTGGGGAAATAGAACATTGTGAATTCACACAGTAAATTCGCAGTAATATGGCAAATGTTTTGAGTGTGATATTTTCTAGTGGCAATAGGCGTTATTAGTTTTATGTTAATCTTAAATTGCGGACAACTTGATGAACCTCTTCAGTGAAAGTTAATGTCACAGCTTACAGTGACAACATAAATGCTGTGTGTTTTTGTTTATGCACTTCTGGACACACGTGTGCAGGCGGCACAACTCACTCAGCACTGCACTTGCTGGTGGCAGTGTTTGGCACGTTGTGCTGCCTGTTGTTCTGACTTCAGTCAGTTCCCATGCAAATTCGAGTCCTCAAAAGACAACAGGGTGTAAGTTTTTGTTCCTTTCCTATTATAGTGACTACCATATCAAATTTCATTCTCCATGACTGAGAGATAAAAACATACAACTTGAGAAGAGTTGTTTTAAAAATGTACTTGTAGCACTCATCAAAAAATATCAATATGTCCTTTCATGCTATAATTTAATATGCACTTAATGATAAGTGTGGTTTGGCTAGATGAAAAGTTGGCTCGTGACATTTTCTTTTTCTAGATTATTTTATAAAAATGGAAATTGAACTTATGCAATTTCTGAACGACACTTAATTCAACTGTTGAGACACTGAACAGATTTAAAACATTTTCTTACAAGGGTGGGAAGTCTTTACGCATTTGATAAATGGAAGCTATTGCTCTAAATGAAGTAGAAAACGTTCAGTGGATCAATCAAACAGGAATGATGCTGTGAAAAAATAGCAGGGATGATATAAGTAGATTTCTCTTGAACTGCTTCATGAAGATCCTGCTAGTAAGGCCTTGCTTATGCAAGGACATTCAAGTAGTTGAACCGACTGAAAAGGGTGAATGTACTCAGTTAAACCTCGTGTGAACTCTTCAAGGTTCAAATGGATTTGGATCACTGCTGTTAAACCTGAAAGCCCGTTTAAACTGCGGGATTACACCAGTATAGATCAATGACCAATTACCAACTGGGGAAATCTCAGATGGAAACAACTAAATTTAAATCACAGCTTATGCTTAAAAGGTTAATTTGTCTGTTGGTTTGTCTGCATGGAGAAGTATAGATCTGTCTTAGCTGTTGATTTCAGGAGGACCTGGCCGTGAGAGATAGCTGGTGAAGGCTGCTCGTTATCTCTTGTCTTTTTTTCAATTTTGTGTAATGTGGACACTTTTCAGTCCTTGTATTCACATACCCCATTATGAAATTGTCTCCGGCCTTGTAATAACAAACTGATAAAACTGCCTTATTTTACCTTCAGTGTTCATGTGAGATTAGTGCTTCTGAATCCTTGTCTCGGTGGTCAGACTTTCTGATGTAGAACCGAAGGTTCTCCTTAGGCATGTATGCATGTGCACACAGCACTGCACTTCAGCTAGGCCTCTTAAGATTTCGGTTCAGGCCTGCTCTGTTCACAGGAACAGGACACAGCGTACAGCTGCTTGCCTCACTTGCTGGGTAAGGTTGGGCGTGGGTGTATCATGCTGAAGGTGACTTGGTAACAGTGTGCAAGGTGGTTTGCTATGCTGCTTTTAAAAAGCAACTTGTCTCATTTATTGCAAGATAAATGTGTACATGTGGGCAATTACTGGAGTTAACGTCCTGTGGACCCACATTGTCACTTACTTTGCAGTAACTTGTCGCACACTTTCCTAAGCTTTCTGAAAAGCTCTCTTTTAAATATCAGAGCGAAGCATAGCGATTTTTCTTCAGAACTTACTCTGATGTGCACATACTGCACTGTATAGAGGTTGCTGTGTGTCTCTTTTATGCACACTGCACAGTGAACTTCTGAGCAGTTGTATCCTCTACACGTGGTGTTGCTTTAGAAGTTACCCTGCCCATCCCAGTGTTTGCCTGTCACTTCCATGTAAAGCCCACCATTATGGCTGAGGGATAGCTCATGGATGACTGAGTTTGTTTTCAGACAAGGCATAAAGTGAAGTTACTGGTGGATTGCTTATGTTAATAGTGAAAACTGATATTTTCAGTGTATTAGTTAAGTATTCTGTTTAGTTGAAATGGAAAGCAAGTGCTTTTCTTGCTATACACACCATCATTCAGCAGCTATTTCTGTTAAAGTAATACCTATTTTTAATAGTTTACATTTCTGATCTAGTCATCTGTTCCAGCTAGCTGGCTAAGTTGCTGCTTTGAGAGATAGAGGATAAAAATATGATTGTCATCTGTAGTGATCATCTTGCATCTAATTGCTTGATATCTGCTGAACACCCTGAAGTTTGCCGTGGTGAACCAGTAAAATGTGGTGTGTTTGGGTCCAGAGCTGCACCTGAAGAAAATCCCATTGCTGGAATTACATTGCAGTGTTTTCTGCTCAACTGCTGAAGTTGCCTTGTGTTAATGTTGCCTTGCCCTCTTGGACCCTGGACAGGTTCTGATCAGCTCCTGGCTTGTGGCTTTAAGTAAAAGAGAAGGTGATACTGGCAGGTTAAGTATAAATCAGATGTAAAGTTTATCTTTTTAAACCAAATTCTGATAACAGCTCCTCCAACTATGAGGAAGATGTGGAAAGCAGCATGTTAAGTTGACTAAGGGTTACGCAAGTTATTAATTAGTTATTGAGGTGTAATAACTCATAACATCAAAGATCAGTGTCTTTGAGATATCTTTTTGATTGTGGAATGGATGCTCCAGGACTGCAGAAAGAAATGAAACCTTTTCCCATTTTTAATTTCTTGTGTGATATTCCTCGCTTTTAAATATGGTTCATATTATCATGAAAGCTTTGACACAGATTTCCTTTACTGTGTTAAAGGTATTCCCCAAATTTACCTCATAATCACATCTTATTTTGGCATGATCCACATTTCTGCCTCCTTGTAGGTGTTGGTAGAGTTCCGAAGCTTTTCTAGTTTAGATTCATACTGCTGTGCCCAGAACGGTGTTTCCCAGACTGCCTTGTATTCTTGTCAGATTTATTTACTTTTAGTAGCTCTTTCTCATGAGCTTTTTCCTGGATATTTTAGGGGAATTTCTTACTGATCTGTACCCACTTATCTATTTTTCTTTTGCATCAAGTAGCTTTCTTCATCCTGCTTTTGTCTGGAACACGCTTTATCCATTCCCTTGTTTCATTCTCTCTTGTACCGGTTTTTGCTTAATGTGACTAAAATAAGTAAGCTTTAAGTCAAGTTTCTTGCACTTGGTGTATTCCATTTAATTGGATCTTCACCTTGTTATTCATCTGCATGTTTTTCTCATGCGCTTCAACTCTAAAAGAGTTCTGGTACAAAGACTCCTCCTTTCTTCCTAGTTGGAATCTTGGCTTCTGGCTTCATGCTCGTGGCAACCAGCCACTTGTATCTTAATGTGGTGGGAGGTGTGCTCATCAGGTGAGATAATCCTTACGGCAAAATTCCATTCCTTCCTCCTTGTCTTCTTACTTCAAAGCTTTTCCCAGCTCAGCTGTGCCCCAATGCAACATGCTACAACTTCACTATATTAGGCTGGCATTGTCCTATGAGTGCCTAGTGATGATTGTCCCTGTGCAAAAGCCTTTCCCTTTTTGTGCTGCGTCTTCCTAGAACTAATCAGCGGAGCCCCTGACTGCTTTACATTTCAGGCTGGCACTGCTCTGAGAATGCTCTGTCACTCCAGCTAGTGACAGCTGGAGGAAGGAAATGTTCCTCTGCAGCACAGTCATGTGCCTGAGCTTCTTAAAGCTGTTAGAAAATAGGTCGGTGCTCCCAAGTTTCTTTTCATGTACTGTTTTCATTTACTTGATCTTGTGTCACTAAGCTGTAGTTGAGTCTTTGCTTTCTTGTGGATCAGTTGGAGTGTAGTTTTTCTGATGTGTTAATATTTGAAGTCTGGGTGGTAACTGTAAATTGCCTGCTTCCTCAAACATGTTCCATTTCCTGTTTTTAGAAGGTGATTTAATGGTGTTTAAAGATGTATGAAGTCATTGGTAATCTTCAGTCTTAATGTGGCTGTGCTGCCATTCAGCGGAGTTATTTTGCTGTTGAATGTGTAAATGGTCATGGATGGAAAGAAGTCTTTTCTGGGAAGCTCTTCCGCTAGAGAGGACCTGTGCCTTTAGAGTCCTACAGCAGCTGGACAAAGAAGATCACTGAGCTCTGTGAAGTTGTATCTACATCCTTATTTTAATTCCATAGTGTCCTTTCTGCTCCTTTTCCCTTTCTGCTACTGGGAGGAGAGGAAGAAGTAGAAGCATTGCTCCAGCGCTTCACCTTGCTCTTGGTCTTTATTTTTAAAACTTAAATTAAGCGAAGCAAGAGTTGCATCAGTTTCAAAATGTAAATTAGCTGCTCTTTGTCAGACATGGGATAAAGATCACTGCTTCATAATAATGGGAATTAATAATGGCACAACATGGAAGAAACTGTCCTGAAAGAGCCATCATGTTACTGCATTAGTACACATGTGCTGCTTATGGAGCAGTTGGATGAAATGTATACGTTCTACATTCTACAGTTCTGTTTTTTTTTTAAATGTAGAATGAAACAAAGGAAAAGCAACTGGCTGGAAATAGGTGGGAAATCTGCAGTATGGGTTTGGTTAGAGGGTGAGTGCAAAAATAGGAACTGTGTGAGCCTGGATTGTATCAGTAAATAAACTGCTTGTCAAACAAATGCAACAGTTGGAAATTGCAGAAAATGATCACTTTTGTCTTTGTAATTAGTCTTGTAAGGTTGTTCGAGATACTCACCATGTGCATCTATAAAAAGAGAATGTGCACTTCTTGCCCATGGTGTTGGGTGTTACTGTAAACACTTCAAATGTGCATGGAACTTCTCAAACATGGCAAGGCATGCCAGCTGCCAGGGAGCTGGGAGTCTCCTTGCTCAGCACCAAGGTTGGCTTGGCTGCCTTTGACTCTTTTGTGTTGTGTAACCCTACCTCAGGATGGAAAAGAGTACATGAGATGCTAAAAAGAGTGAATAAAAGGCGTTTGAGTGCTGTTAAGTGTTAAATGTTGACTTTGTCTATATGCAGGTAATTGCATTAAGTACAGCAATTAGTATAATTGTTGCAATAGAACTATGAAAATCAAGCAGATCCTGTTCTTTCCAGGAATCTTCAAGGATGTAAATGTGTGATGGGCTCTTAGCTTCTCTTGTGGGCAGAGTGCTTGTAAGGATCTCTGCAAAAGCACTTTTACTGTCCAGCATAACACTGGGGAGAGTGTAAGCCACGTGTGCTGTTGCATGGAGCAGTGGCTATTGGACTGTTAAAAACGCTTTGATTTTGTATGAAAACCTGACAGGTGAGAATAAATCTTCTCCTGCATTTGTAGATGCAGCCTTTTAGTTTCAGTGTTTGAGGGAAGAATGTGTTAGAGCATACTGTGAACAAAGTGATTCGTGTTCTGCATGGGAGGTTCATGATGTTCATGGTGATTTTTAAATACGCCTCTTGGGAAGCTTGTGTAAGAAGCAGCCATTGTGATACAGACTTTGCCAAGACAGTAAGGGCAGTAATCAAAAAAAAAAAAATAAAGTTCTAGAATTACAGATGAAGGACTAGTTAATAATCTTCTAATAGGGCTATGGAAAAATAACTTCTGATGTCATTGGCATCAAGGAAACAGGAATTTCTGCTGTTTTGTATGCGAGCATGCTGACTCAAATGATTCTCAAATGTTCCTAAGCTACTGGAGTAGGAGGTCTGTCACTAGGTGCTCCTAGAAGAGACACACGTTTAACCATCTCTGCAAATGCAAGTGGTCTGGTTAGTGCTGTAGATCTTGCAGTTAACTTTGTCTTTTGCTGAAACAAATGCCCAGATTTGGTTTTGTTCCAAAGATAAGGCTTAAGTATCCCTATTTTGAGTGACTGATTGAATATGGTTTTGCCTTTAAACTGTTTGTTGAGGGGTGATACGTTTCCAGCTAGAGCTTTAGAGCCTTTAAAATGGAATGCTTGTTTCTTCAGTTATGAAATACTGAATTTAGAATAAATAAATGGGAGTGCCAATGGGCAAAGGCCTTTCAGCACGTCCTCCAGAACGATATGGTCCCTTTGTTTCCCTTTAGTCCCCTACACACGTTATCTCTTCTTCCTTGTTTTTAATGCTTGACTGTGTACCCCTTAGGACAGAGAAGTCTCTTTGTTCAGGGTGCAAAGGAAAACTAGCGGATCAGGTGCCAGGGTACAGGTTATAAGTAGAAAGAAAACATTTATCATTCAAGGATACAAAATTAGGAGATGTGTCCTGTGTACTTCAGCACTTAAGGCAGTTATTGCTTACAATTTCTTTGCATTTGGGAAAACTGTAGTTGCATATTGCATGATTCTTCATTTTTTTCTTTAAGGTGAATGTTGCTTAAATCAAGTATCAGCTGTACTTATATTGTATGTAACAGATATATCAGTTGTATGGTTATGTAACAGTGAAATTGTCCATATATCAGGGTTTGTTTGGCATACCAGTTGGTTTATGAAGGCATAACAATATAGGCATCAGCTTTTGACAGAAATCCTTAGATAACCACGTTATCAGTATTAGACTGTATCCAAAATCATTAATTTAAATTTAAAACTTGCGCTTTCTTTATATTTAGGGTTTGTACTGTATGCGTTGTATAAGAATAGAAATAGCGTAGCGTGTGGTATTTTTTTACATGCCTGATTTATCCACATTTTGTTTGTCTTCATAATGTTTTTCTTCTTTTCAGGTTACACACGTCTCCAAAGAAGAGACTGACTCCAATGCAAAAATGTGTCAGCCCATTAGTTTGGTGCAGGCGGGTGTTGGATTACCCAAGTCCTGACATTGAATGTGGTAAAAAGTCACTGATCCACAGGCTGGAACAGATGATGTCAGGTGAGTTCTGAATATTAACACCACTGGGTGGTACGTACTATTAAACAGAGTCACAGGGATCAGAATTAGCTAATAATTGTGAGAGAATGAGGTGCAGCAGTTAGTTCTGCCATAAGTTGTCATGGTTTGCAACGAGTAATTCATTGTCATAATTTTCTATATTGTGAATAAAATGAAGCATCAGGTGTGAGGGAGGATCTCGGAGTTTTAGGTCCTCTGCATAGCTGTGATGTGTTCCTTTCTGAAAGCTCCTGACCGATGTCATTAACGTGGAGGACTTATTTTAAAATAGCCTGTGTTATACTAATTGTTACACCTAATTAGTTGGTAGGTGCTTGTCAGTACATTAGAACATTTTTTTTTCTAGCTGAGCTATTTTCTCTAAGAGAATGAAGTTCTTGAGTAGCATGGGCAGATAATATTGATTTGTTTTCCTCCTGTCCCCAGTAAGGTAAGATGATGTCACCATTAGATTCAGAAATTCAGAGTTTGATATATATATATATATATTTTTTTTTTCCTTCTTGGTGCAGCATAGTTGGTTATATTCCAAACTGGGGAAGAGTTGAGTGTCTGGTCCTTGAGGAAGGAAGCCTACCACCTTCATTCTTTGATTCACAGCATTCTGATGTCCAATTAGCAGCAAAATGCTGACGGTCTGATTAGAATTTTCTGTCCCTCTAATTTCTTCATCATTTTTCCTGTTAACTTACCAGTAATACTTTGCCCTGTGAATGCCCTAAACTCAGCTGTAGCCTCTGACTGTTTTCCAAAACTTGCTTTAACTTCTTTATTTAAGTCTATTTTTATGGGAGGAAAGAAAAGTGATACTGAGAAATACCTTTCTTACTGTTAATATTTATTCTTGCTTTGTATTTCCATCTTTTTTTGCAGCCTTGTGCTACTTTTTTCTTTCCTTACCACTATCTGCAGGAATTAAGAGAATGATTGGATTTGACCTATGAATATCTGAACAGTTATTTCCAAATACAAATGTTCCCAACCATCCTTCATATGGTTATACATAAATTTTGCTGAGTTCTATTATGATATTTTCCCCTTCCTTGGATTCTTTGGAGCAATTCAGTCTTTACTCTGATTTGTACTAAGATTGTTCTTAATAAAATTTGAAAACATTGCTAGTAGATCATATGAAAAATCCAGTTCTTATTGTTACAAAAACTAGCAAACCTAATGCTGAAATTGCCTTCACAATGAGTTATTTCATTTCAGCAGGTATCACAGCTTCTGTAACACTTGGAATATTTTTTAGAAGTTCAGTCGCAGTGGGAGCAGGATGGCAGGACGTTGCTGTATGAGATGGCTGAACTTGAAAGTCTGATCCATTCAAACTGTGTGTAGGCAACTTTGTCTTTTTTCCTTATCCCCAACAATCTACCTCTGGCAGTTACTCTTGCAAGAGTACAGCAACTCGCCCATGGTACAAACAGGGAAAAATATTTCTGGTAGAAGAGATGAGCACTAATACTGCTAGTTGGAGAAGACTGTGTGGAAAAGTGAATTTGTAACAGAAAATCAGATTGTCCTTTAGACCAACCAGACTACAGCAGAAATAGGGTAGCAGGAAGCTCCACTCTTGCAAGCTGTGTGTTTCCTACCCTACAATTTCCAGAGTATCTTGGGCTTTTGTATTTTACATTCTCTTTGATTCTGCCTCAAGGATCCCCATCTCTTCACCTATGAGTTAGTGATTCAGTTAATAAATTTCAGTTCCAGTCTTCATAGAGGCTTTTTGTACTGCTGTTACTTTCTCTCCTTGATCCCTGTTGTTTTGCCATGACTGTTTTCTCTTTGGCAGTTCCTGTTATGTGTTTCTAATCTTTTTGCCTCTTCTCAGTCTCAAATGCACTCTTGTTTTCCAGATTTTCTTCTTTCTTCTTATAAAATAATCTTTTTCCATTGTGTGATGGTAAAGAAGGGAAGAGAGAATTTCAGCTCCATGCAAACAGTTTCTTGGAACACAGAATGCATGGGGCTTGTTGCTCTTGAGTTCAGGTTTACAGTTGCAGGGAGAGGACTGCTTAGTGTTGGAAGGAAATCCAGACTAGAGGTAACCTTAGGCGTGTCCTGGTGCAGTCTTCTCTGAGCCTTGCCCTCCAGACCCTGGTCAAAAGTGCAAAAAGCACATTTCATGTTGGCTGGAGACCAGGACTTCCAGCACAAGGGCGTCTAAAACAAGATCGGATTTTATGAATGAGATGTGAAGAAATCAGCAGCAGGAACCCAGAAATACTATTCCTCTCTATTCTAGAGCAAAAGAGAAATTGAAGACCAATTTAACCAAATGCTGACGAAAATAAATTGGGTGGTGAATGCTGTTTCTGAATCTTTTAAAAGAAAATATGCATTACTATAAAAATGCTCATCATTTCATTAACCCTTCCCTCTATGTTTTAAAAGCTAATGCATGATCTAATCAAAGCTGATGTTTCATCTAATAGAGAATTGTTTTCGTGTTAAAATTTATCCAACTTATTAACATTGTCACTCCTAAGAAGGACCATGTTTTGCGTTGTTGAAAAACACTTAATGCCTTCCTACGCTATAGAAATCCCTATTGGGATTCTGTACCAGGAAAAATTGTTTGAATCCAGTTGGTTTCTTTTTGTTTGGTTGTTGTTGTTTTTGTGGAAAAAAAAAATACAATGCTGAGGATGGTAGAAATTCATACTTGCCTAGGATGACAAATGTTGTACCATGTAAATTTCATGATGTACCAGGGAGTGCTTATCTGTACATAATGAAAAGCTTGCTTTCATCTGAAGAAATCTGCGTGTCATAAATACTTAGTATCACTGTGGATATGTACAAAGAGCCTGTCTTTAAGATTTTACAGTAGTACAGTTGTTTCCAAATTTGTGTTTAATGTTTTAGTGTTTGTGTAATGAATACAAAATGAAGAACTGTTGTGCATCCTTACATTTTAGGGGTTTTTGCAATAGGTATTTCAGAGCTGTTGCATGAACGCTAAAATAGCACTAGTTGTCTCATCAGTCGACCAGAATACAACCACTTTTAATAACCTTTGTTGACTATGCTTGATAATAAAGCTCAGGTTTCCTTTGTGGCATTCACAAAATAAAGCGGAGGCAGCTCAAGAGTATTTACTAAAATTCATTGAAATTTCATAGCTGGTGAAATTAGCACATAGCTTTCATTTTCAGGCTAAAATAATGAAAGTGAAAGCGGAGCAGTTTAAGGAATCTGCTGTGAAGCTGGCTTTAATTCCTGCCGTTTCTGCCTTTGCTGCACTCTGCTAGCCGTTCAGTTGAGGTAACACAATCCCTCTTGCAGTGCTACTGAAAACTGGTCCTCTGATGAGCTCAGTTATTATTGACACTGCTTTAGTAGTCTGGGTAACACTGCAACCCCTCTATTACTTGTATTGAGTGAGTGAGGAAGTAGTGACCAAGAGCAGAGTGGGGTGGGAGGAGAAGCTCAAGCAGGCTTTGCTGCTGAAGGCAGCATTTCATGCAACTGTTTCTATTTGGCTTCTTTTAATGTTAAAAAGATAAATAAAAGCAGAATAAAGGAATTTTCAGTAAACCAAGTGAATGCCAAACTGCCTGACATGGCACAATGGAATTCAGTTATTTTTAATCTTTTCATCTACTGTCAATAGCCTTTTTTTTTTTTTTTTTTTTCTTTTGAAAAGCTCAATTTCTGTTTTTTTTTTTCTTTTTCCCCTAGAGCCTGCTTGAGTATAATGCCACACATTGAAGCCTATTCTTGCCAGTTTCAAAACTGTCATGCCTTATAGTTTAATTTGCAGCTCACTGAGCTGCTGGCTACTAATCTAAATACAATTTTTTGTCAGTTTGGCATAAAGTACTTTCAGCAATGAAGAAACTGTTTTACCAAAACTGATCGTATTGCCTTTGGTTTCCACTTTCCCCATCAAAGTTCTGTTTTCTATTATTTTGAAATGAAAACTGAAATTCTGAACAAAACATTTAAGTAGGTATATAAATTGTAAGCTGGCAGCTTTGGGAGCGGAGGTATAATAGTGGAAATGTATGCTGCTAATTAAAATTCATCTGAAAGTACTTCAGGATTGAAACACGTAAGGCTAATAGCAGTGGCAGGTGCCAAATTGTAGCTCTTACTTCATATGTGGCATTGAAGCCCAATGGCAGAAGAATCCCAAAGTAGGGAACAATCCTACAGTTTGAAAGAGCCGTTAAGGACTCCATTTTGATAAGGGATTTTTGACCAGATGTAATAAATGTGATTGTGGATTCTAATGAAATGAATTTCACATTAAGGTAGCTAACTTTCTGGCATATCCTTAAGAAATTAATTTGGCTGAAGTCTTAAGTAGCTGATGAGAGCAACCAAAATAGGAGGTGGCTCTTACAAAAAGCATTAGTACAGATGGAAGCAGTGAAGCTTTAGTCTAACCTGGTAAACATCTGGCATTGTTACTAACCAGCCTGACAGTGTCGTGATTTGTGTCATCCTGGTGTACTTCAAAAATATTCTCTGAGTAAGTGATGTTGTCCTGTGGTTGGTTGCTTTAGTTACATTCTTTGGGAAACTGAAGACTGGTAGAACAGTATAACCACCACATGGCTTGTCTTGGTGACTTCTGGAGAAGCCTTTTAAGTTCTGTATAAATCTACTACATAAGTTTGGGTTGCAGTAAAACCTATGACCATTTCTGCTTTATAGTCCCAAACAGATTCAGAGTATCCAGAACTATAAACAAGCATTTGCCATGCTTAACTTAGATTTTTTTCTTTCGGCTTATGCTTTGGGAAATTTCATATGCAGTATTTCTAGTTCTCTGTTACTAGTCTTGGGGTTGCTGTTTAAATACTACACAATCCAGAATCTCTGAATTCTGGAGAACTAGAATTAAACTGCTTTCCCATATGATTTATATGCATATTAGCTACTCTTTCACCCTAAAAGGCTATTGCAGGAGGTATAGGAATGCTGGTTTAGTTCTGTATATACATCAACACCATCCCAGGGATTACCTGTGATTCTCAAAGACTAGCTGAGAGCTGAGATGAAACCTACGGGGAATGAGAGGAAGGTTGTTCTAGTCAATTGATATTTAAAAACATTTGAAATGGCTAAAAATCAAAGGCAACTGCTTCAGAAATTTCATTTTACCGGTTGGTTTTCTATGTGGAAATCATGTTAGGATTTTGTCTGAATGACTACAGTGTTGCAGCAGCTCCTTAGGAGTAGCCAAAAGCAATCTTTTTCTGTCAGTACTTACACATGCTAAGGACTCTTTGTCTTCAGTGAGCACTTGCTGTTATTGCTGTAACATCTGTCATTTTCCAAGGTAGGGTGGCAGGGTTGCATCCGGAACTCATTCAGATTGTAATTGGGGCAACTGTGTTTCATGTGCTCTTACCTTGATATATGTAGGGATGTCTCTTTTCGTTGCAGCTAATTACAAAGAGGATGGTTTTTGTAGCCCTTGATACTTAATGATGTCTCTGTTTTGTATGTGATGTGTAGGTTCTGTGTTAGCATCGCTTAGCGACTGCAGTCACATTTGGAGTCACTTCCCTCCTCCTTGGTTGGGCATGCTGAACAGAAGAAAGAGTGTAGCAATTTTAGATCTGATTTTTAAAAAAGTGCTTGTTATCTTATCTTGTAGTTTTCTTGCGCTAGGATTAGTATCTAGGAGGCTAAGAAATCAGCTGAAAAACAAATCCCTGCTGACTTAAGTGCTTTGCTTGAATTGTATAGCAATTAAATCACACTGAAGTTACCATATTATTATATGCATTTTTTCTTGCTTGTTCCTGTATTATAATTTGTAGTTTTCCTCCTCTTTTGTACAGCTGTGAAGAGACAGAGTTTGTACAACAGTCCTTTCAGTGCAGTCAGCTATGCCAGCTCCTATAGTCCAAATACCAGTAGCCCCTACAGTAGTGGTTTCAACTCTCCCTCCTCAACACCAGTGAAATCTGCGTTAGCGAAACAGTTCATATCTCCGGGTGCCTCAGGTAAGTGTGTGTGTTTGAAGGGGTCCCTTCCTTCCCCCTCTTCCTTTTTTTCAGAAATACATGCTCAAATACTGTACGTTTGCATGGAACCTAGAATAAGAAGGACACCTCAATTCATCAGTGTTTTTGTAGGAAGTTTGCATCATGCGGTATTTAAGCTTTTTAGGAAAGACATATTTTTATACACACACCTTTCGGCATGAGGTACATTTACAATGTTTTCTTTGGATACCCACTTACCTAAGATAACTGGTTACATTTTAACAGCTAGACCAAAAATCTTACTGCTACTTCTGTGAAGTCCCAGAGCGCATAAGAAGCTTCTGGAATTGACCTTGTGTAGTACCTTTAGACATTACCTGGTGGTGGCTGTAAAGTCTTTGCAATTGCAGCATTACTTATTTACTGAATCATTTGATATGTGATGCATCCATCAGTACAGCTGCGATATGAACAATGTAATCTAAGAAAGAAGCACGTATTTCAATTACAGCTGTTCCTTAAGGCTCTGCAGACATCAGTATGAACAGTAACTTCTGGCAACCTTCTCTGCCTTTATTCTGTGCCACAGGCGCCTTTCTGCGCTTTAGAAAAATTGATGTGTGGAACATCTCTCTACACTGAAGTCAGAATGTTGGCTCATTGCATTTACTTTAACCTAAGTTAGTTTGCAGGGAAGAAAAAGAAAATTTAATTAAAAGTTCCACTATCCATAGTTTGCTGTGGACTTATAAAGAAAATCCTGCTCTGCAATATATTCACCAGTTGTTACTGAAGTTTTGTTTTCATTTATCTAGCTCTGGTCTTTGTTACGTGCTACCATCCTGTTGCCATCTGTCACACAGCAACAAAATGTAATGGAATATTGGCAAGAAAGTTCAACGTCTACTGCCATATCTTCAATATCCACTTCTGACATTGCAGGCCAACATAATCAAATAGAAGGCATTACTTTCAGAGTAGCCCTCATCGGGTGTAGGAATAAGAACAAAGCCGTAAATGGAACAGGCATGCAGTGCTCTTTCTGTAAGAGCTGTACAAATGTCATAGCAATTGAAACCTTGGTAGAAATGGACCAAATTTATGTCGTTAATTTCATCTGTCACCATTATAATGATTTTTATAAACTTACTCATTTTCAGCATAGATTTGCAGTCAGATATTTCAAATGTCTGTCTCAGTGTTTTAAGTCATAATCTGTTTTCAGATTGTTGGTTCTTCTACCAGGATATGTTTTGTTTTGTTTTGTTTTTGTTTTATTTTGTTTAACATCTCCTATTACTTTATGTTCTTTCTATAGGTCATCTTAAAAGCTCAGCTGATAGGAATCCTCCACTAAGCCCACAGTCTTCTGTGGACAGTGAATTAAGTGCATCAGAGATGGATGAAGACTCTATTGGGTCTAATTACAAGCTAAATGATGTTACAGATGTGCAAATTTTAGCACGAATGCAGGAAGAAAGTAAGTATTTTGCGTCTGAAAATCAAGTGGGATGACTGATCTTTTTTTAATTAAACAACTGCAGCAGAACTTCCTTAGCAGGAATGGGAAAGAAGTCTCTATCAGGGATGTACAAATGTAGTTTTCCTGAGAAGATTAGCTAAGGACTTCTGTTTCCTGGGTAAGGAAAGGAAATGTATACCACTATATACACGTACTCCTGCCCTGGTACATTTTGTACATTATAAGCACGTACAAAAGTAGAAATTTTAAACGGATGATGCAGAAGTGAAGCAAACAGTAATTACAAACACTGTTTTATCTCTTAACATTACAAAAAAATTTTCTTCCCTTTATCAGATTGAATTGTTTTGTGTGCCTCATTGGCTAAGTGCACCCAGCTTTGGAGATCACTGGTCTAACTGAGCTCTAGATTCTCTGGGCGTAGCTTTTTGTTATATTTACTAATGTATCTCAAGAGGCATTTCATTGCAGCTTCTATAATTCTTACAGGGTGGTACATGATACCCAAATTAAATTGTATCTAGTCTGGGAGAGAAGATGAACAAGTAGCGCAAATATAGTGATGATTGTTGTAGTATGGAAAGGAAGAAACTCATCTGGTTATTCAGCTGTTGGACAACCTTGTTTGATACTAATCTGGAATTAATTTTATGTCTCGAATAAAAAGAGGGAAGATGAGCCAAACCTTAGCTTGAGCCCTGGGCAGGTAGCTGTGTAACTGATTTCTAGTCTGCACCATATGTGGGCTGATAAAAAGTAACAATCTACTCAATGTTTCTAGGCCTCCGGCAAGAGTACGCAGCATCGGCTTCTCGGCGTAGTTCTGGTTCTTCTTGCAATTCTACCAGGCGAGGCACATTCAGTGACCAGGAGCTCGATGCACAGAGTTTAGAGGATGAAGAAGATGGCACACATCACACAGTGCACCCTGCCGTCAGCAGGTTCTCACCGTCACCTCGTAGTTCTCCCTGGCCTTCACCAAAACAGTCTCCAAGGAATTCTCCTCGTTCCCGATCACCTGCTCGAAGTATAGAATACAATAGAGTGTCACCCCAGCCTATGATCAGCCGTTTACAGCAACCTCGTCTTTCACTTCAAGGCCATCCTACAGATATGCAGACCAGTAATGTCAAAAGTGAAGGTAATAAGCTCTGTTCTCAACTTCATTACACAAGTAGCTAAGGTAGCTGTGTAATTCCCATAGAAGATTTTGTCTGGGTTGAAGTGCTAAAACTATACGCTTGCACAATGCCATGGTTTAATCTCAGAGCTTTTAAGAAGAAGAAGAGTAAGCAAAGCTTAAATACTGCTGGGGAGCTCTAGCTGTCAGATGACTTCATAGACTTCCTCTGTATGTTAGATGTTATCCAGTCAATGAGTGTAGTTTTGTTGTGAGTGAGTTCTGTCTGTGCCAGTGAAATGTACTACGATAAAGGAGAGCGCAAGGGAACCTATCGTTCACCAGTAGGCCTTGCAGATGGCAGAATAAAATGAAGAGAGTATAACTGCTCAGAATAAGAGTAAGATTGCAGTTTAGGTATGCCTCTAGCCTGTGAGATAGCTGCATGCTTTCTTCTGACACTGCAGGACTGTGAGCAATTTGACCATGAATATGGCCTTAAAATATTCATACTGTCTTTGTTGACTATTTTAAATAAATGTTGAAGCTGTGCAAACTACCAAACAGTAAAACTGCAGAAAACTTTACACCAATTGTATTATCATATAATAATGCTGTTCTGATACAATTTTGCTTCTTGAATGTACTTCCTGGTAGCAAGCCAGTGAAAACTCCTTTAATGGAGCTGAAATTAGGCATATTCCCATTTTTAAAAGGGTAGGTATTTGGCAAATAATATTAAATTCAGAACTACATTTAGATTCAAAGAATTGAGCTTATTTATTTCTCTTCAAGGTAAAATAGATGTAAAGTGTCTAAAGTGTGTTGATGTAGAAATATATTTTTAACTGTTTCTCTTTTCTGCTGCTGATACAGTAGCAATCTCTATCACTTAAAGAATTCCACTAAGAGTAGTTAGAGTACTTCCTTCCTGCATCACTCTTCATAGTTAGGTTGGCCATTCATTGTGCCTTGTCAGCTGTGCTCTTCTGTCATGTAGCATCATCAACCCAGCTCTGTGTGGGTTGGACATATGCAGAAGGCCACAAGAATTGAGAAGAATTTAATGGCATCTTTTTACCTTCTGTGAGAAACTGTACAAATTTGATAAGCTACTTAAGGAATCAGTATGAGCTGAATTAATACTTGAGTCATATGTGAAAGAATCGTAACACTTAGTAATTTTGAATGCTAAGTGATATGAGTTTCTTTCCAAGTGCCTGTTTGTTACATAGCGTGCTGATATGGGACTGAGTGGTGACAAATAATGCTTCAGAAATTACTGTTTTTAATCTTATGGCAAGCACTGTATAGTATAGGTTTCTAGATAAAGGCTTCAGAAAGTATGCAACAGTGGATGACAGATTTGTGTATTCAATTGCTGTAATGAAGGAACAAAACCCAAGGAATAATAATTTAGACACATTTCAATTTTGGAAAACCCCATTCTTGATTTCTTTTTTTTTTTCACAAGTCAAAATTGCATATTCTTCAATTTTATATATAAATATAAAACTTTATTTCAAGATGATCAAAGAACTGTTATGTAGCAAAGTATGCATTTAAATTAGTTTTATATACCTAACTGTTTGTGTCACTTAGATTTTGAGTTCAGCTATTGGTTAATAACATGAACTTTGTCAGGCATTGGGCTACACGTAGTGATATCTTTGTGTTGTTTCACACAGAAAAACTAAGGCGTAGTCTTCCAAACCTGTCCAGGACATCTAACATCCAAGCTGAGTCTGTGAAAAACAGCAGAAGTGACTCAAACTTCCAAGTGCCAAATGGAGGAATACCTCGCATTCAACCTCAAGCCTCAGCCAGTAAGTACTTGCCTGACATTTTAGTGGATATGTCAGAATTAAGTGATGGCACTGAGCTTTTTTCCAGTTTCATGGCACAGAGAAACACTGCATGCCACGCTAGAGGTGCTAATCTGGATTTTAATCACATCTGTCTGAAATACTGCTTTTTTTTTTTCTAAAGTAGATCAGGTATTGAATGTACTGAAAAAAACTCCTAATCTCCTGTTAAAATAACATTCATACCATCCTAAAAGCATATATAAGGTATAAATACTCTGCAGTAGTGAAGTAGCATTAGACAGAAAGGATAATGCTTCATACTGTTGTATTTTATTTCAGACTAGAAAAACACATCATGCTACCAGAATGCTTATCTTGATGATGGTTTTGCTATTTTTAAACTATTGAAACCTAATACAAAATCATTCATGCAATTTTAACTCATTTGCAGTTAATTTTCTCTGCTTTGTCACCTGAAAATTTTATATATTCAGTTGCAGATTCTGTTTTTTCAAACATCAGTGTTTCTCAGCAAAGGTTGAGGTGAACCTGAGTCCCGTGCAACAAAAAGCACAGTGCTGGGTTAGTGCCTGCTGGTTTGGCTGGAAGTGAACCACTGATGTGAGAACGCTGCTGATCTCACAAGTCTCTTACAAATGGTGACCTTAAAGCCAGAGCAAATGAAACGCAAATATTCAGTGCTTCTTTATATGTCAATATTGACAGTTCCTTTTGCTTAAATGTTTCCTGACCATTTTTATTTTAAAACAAGTTTGAAAATGAATTATCTTGTGTGACATTTTCAAAGGAAAAACGCATTATGAATATTATTATTTGCAGAGCTTTGATCTAGAAAAGTTCATCAGTAATCCAAGTATTTGACAAGTAATGTAAGATCGTATTTGTGAATGAAACAAATTTCGCTTTTACCTGCTGAAGAATAAACCTATGCTAGCATATCTGATTGGCCTTTTTAACTATAGGCCTTTCAAAACAGTTTGCTAATACAACCAAGTACAGTTAAATGCAGAACACTACGGACCAGGCAAAGACAAGATTTCTGTCTTTGTAATGACTCTGGATGTAAGGGTTCTGTGGACAATTAGTTAACTGTGTGATACTATAGCCAAATCTATACAGATTGCATTTGGTGTTTTAAAATAGAGTGAACTTGAAAGGGGAGAGTAGAGAGGGCAGCTTAGCTAGTCAGAAAGCTAGTTTCTAATTTCTAATATTTGCACTGAAACTTTGTAGAAAGATGAGATAGAAAAAGTCTCTCTGTTTTCAGCATTTGAGTTATTTCATTGCAGAAATGAGATGATTATAATACATAATTGTTTTCAACTACTGGATGGACTGAAAATCATAAAAAGCATTAGGTAGATCTGTTTGCTTTTTACGGGAATCTTTCACCAAATGTGAACCACTCTAGACCAACTTACATCTAAATGTAAGTTAAATATCATTAACAAAGCCCAGATTTCTAGCTTTTACAGTTTCCCTGCTCTTACAGATGTTTTCAGAGTCTTGCTATTGACAATCGTAAAACGGTTTGTGTATGAAGTCAATGAGTAAGTATCTTTGCCTAGTCTGGATTTAAAAAAAAAATTCCTCAAAATTGTACATTGTATAAAAAATTTCCAGAATTGTGCTTTTTTTATTATACACTTTTTGTTTTATTGGTTTTATATTTTGTCACCTTGCACAAAGCAGTGTTAAATTGCAGCAAAGCTTTGTTTTCCCTTGGCAATGACTTCTGGGTCTAAGGATTCAAAGCTTCCTCATACCTGCTAGTTTTGCATGAGCTTACCTTTGCAAGGATGCTGGCTTGCCACCTGGGATCACTACTTTTCTTTTTGTCAATGATCTGCTGTTCATAATTTACTTGCACATTTGCTGTGGCTGCAAATACTGAACTTGCTATTGTTGCTGGCATTCAAAAATGAGTTAGGAATCCAGTAAGGTTCTGTACAAACAATTCCTGATATGGTTATAACGTAGGCAAATTAATACATGCTTGATTAAGGACTAGATGGAAGATAATTACAGTAAGTACAATTGCAAAATGAAAGCATTTTATAAACTTCAGTTGTAATTTGGTGAAAAATCCAAATTCTCTTTGAAAAGATTCTACTGGAGTCTTCATTTACACATGGTTTACTGTGCTGTCATGCAGAAAGGACTTTTGAACGTGAAAGCCGTTAAGTATTTCACTGTAGAGCACTGGAAGATGGGGTAATACTTGCATTCTTCAAAGACCAGGCATCTTCTAGACTTCAGTGTGTTACAAACTGCAGAAGTCTCTGCATTTAGATTGCACTCTGTGGAGACTGTACAGCTTTGCACAAGGTGGTTTCTACGTAGGAGCTATGTGGACCACGTATGCACGATGCTTTTGAACGTACGCAGCATTAATAATGCAGGGGTGTGAAACCTTTAAGCAGAGTTGATTACAATGCTTTTTCAAAGAGCTAAGCTGCAGATTGTTCAAATTATTAGTGACCATAGTCTGCTTGCCAAGATGTGGCCGCATCACATGTTCAGGGCAAAAGAACCTGTATATTTTTAGGAAACCTAAGTACTGCAGTTCATTTAATCAGAAATAAATATAATTAAATATATTCTGCTTGCACAGTTTCTGAGAGGTGATATAGAACTGTCCAAGAGCAGCAAACAGTGTGGATGAGCATGCACTCTGCTTATCTCAAATCACGTTTCTACAGCATTGCTCAAGTTCCCTGCCTGCAGCTCTGCGCAGTGGTGCAGTGCATGTGCTCTTATTTGTCAGATGCTGGGAGCTTTCCCTGGAGTCTCCACTGAGAAGGAAAGAAGGAATTTGATATATACATAAAATTATTTTTTAAAATTCTTTCCACATCATCTCACATCTCTGACTTGCAAGTAGTGCAGTAATGATGGGGGAAGCAACTTACTGCCACGTACAGTTGGCAATTTAAATGTAGCAGAATGATTAAGGGAAAACAACATCCAGGGTCATAAATATGAAGGAAGAAGTTGCTCTGGATTTTGTGTGGTAGAGCAAAAACACTGATTCAGCAAAAAGTGGTATTATGGAATCCTTGTGGACAGAAACACTCTGGCCAGTGGTTGGCTTCACTAAATTCCTTTAAGAAAACAAGTCTGGGAATTGTGCTCATTTTTAAACATCTTCATGTGTCTAATTGGCTGTTTAGAAGTATTGAAAAAAGTTTACAGTAAGGCCATGTGTCAGAAGTTGAATAATAACTGTCCATTGCCTCAAATTTTTTGCATTAGATTCTAGTTGGTGGAAGGATTTTTTGTTCTTGTTCTTTTAGACACGTTTTATGTTTCTAAGTGTGTTTATTCATTTTTGCTATTTGTTGAAAACAAAGTTATTAGGTAGTTATTAAGATCAAAATGAAAATAGACCACCACCTAATATTTTTAGAATGAAGGTAAAACACACGATGAAATTCCTTTATAGCTCACAAAATATTGCAGATTTTGCATTGACTGAAGGATAAGAAATTCTTTAGTAAAGGATTAGTACTGATTGTTCCTCCTGCCTTCTGTAGTGATTTTCAAGAATTGGTGACGTGAGCTCTGAGCTTCCTTACTCAGGGTTAGGCTCTTCACATACAACTGTTTCCCCATCTTTCTTCCCTCTTGCTATGGAAATAAGCCTTACTGGTGCAGGCAGTTTCATGCTGGCATAGAACTACACAGTGAGGTGAGCAGAGACGTTTTTTCATACGTTGTCATTTTAAGAAGCCTTTATGTAGGCAAAGCTTTAGTTCACTGACTGTTTTCCTTCTTCCCTCCAAAAATATGCTGTGGCGAAAACGTGCCGAATCAGTGCATTCCTTCTGGTAGCAGAGAATTCTCTCTTTGCCAAGTTTCTGCCACTCCTGGAACACAGGCTTCTCTCTTAGTATCTGCTACGTAGTAAGGATGTGTCGAGGCAGTATTAGCCCCTGCATGCTACTAGAAAAAAGGCAGGACATAGGAGCTATATAGAAGAAAAAGCTGCTGTTTGCTTGCTGACAGCTGCTAATCCTCAGTTTTGTGTCTTCATTCTGAGTTCCCTTGTGTAACCTCAGAGAAAAAAAAAAAAAGCAAACATCTCTGAAAATGGCTTACTTTTGCACAAAAATGATGCTCATGCCAAAAGTGATGCTTTTGTGTAGGGCTACAACTTTTTTCTTGAAAGCTACTTTAAAATGAAAAGTTTAGTCTCGCTTGATCCGATAGGACAGTTAAATTGTCACCTTTTTATCTGATCTTGCACTCATATTGCTGTAGCATGCGTGCTAGGCGGCTTGTTCTCCCTTTGGTGTATTTATTTATTTGGTTGGTTGGTTTTGCCTTTCTGGGCGTTTTGCCATGCAAGCAGCTTTACTCTTACAGAATCTGCACATTTTGCACTGCAAAATTTCTCACACGCTTCTTTGTAACTCCTGGCCATTAAGAGCAAGCACCATTTAAAAAACCATCACTTTTGGAGTCATAACAGCTTTTGGAGTGTTTTACTCACTCTATTCTTTATGCTTCACAAGCGGATGCCGTTCTGAAATTCCCAGTAAATTTAGCTTACTTCTCATCTTAGACAAATATAACACTTCTTGTCTTTCAACAGCTCTGCAAAGGCAGAAAAATTTGCCTCGCGCTGCCTTCAAAACCAAACAGTTTCTTCAAACTCCATCTGCAAAAGGAGGTAATTAACTTATAGGCTCTTATCAAGCTCCAGCAAGTCTCGGATAATTGTTCACCTGCATTAAATCTCATACATTCAAGATTAATGAAGTTGCTGTTGCATGTTGAGATTAACTGAGTAGCTCTTGGTGTAACGAAGAATCTAACTTCACAGGATCACAGAATGGCCAGGGTTGGAAGAGACCTCAAGGATCATGAACCTGCAACCCGCCTGCCATATGCAGGGCCAACAACCTCCACATTTAATATTAGACCAGTAGCTAACTTCTTGGTCTAAACATTGAAAATAACATTCCTGTATCACATAAGGAAAGAATAGCTTTAAATCTGATTTTGAGACAAAAATCCAATTGTTAGGTGACTTCTAGCATTGATCACTAAAAAGCAGACTTCTGAATGAATATTTAGTGGGGTGACACTTACTTGGATGGGATTTTTTTCTTACAACATACAGTTTGTAAAATGAATTTTGTAAACATTTCTGAACGTGAAAAATAATCAGACAAGTGAAAACATTGTCTTTCACTTAGTTCTGGAAACAAACAGTAACAACTTCACCCTTCTGCATACAGCATCAACTGGAGATTTGTGCACATGAGTACATGTTGCTTGTGCTTCTTCCCTTCCTCTCAAAACCAAAGCATTATCCCACAGTAATTTAGTTTGTCTTGGGGGTTTTTTTTCCCCTCAAAGAATTAGAGACTATTGTGTGTAATGTTCCAGTTGGCTAATGACTCAAGTTGACATTTTTGAGAAGTCCTAAATCCAATTAGGCAAGCTTTAGCTAATTTTTTACTAATGCGGGCAGCCTTGCTTGTGACACTGCCTCAATTTCGCTACAAGATGAAAACAAAAGTATATAGTTTTGGCTTCAAATGTAGTTGGTCCTGTTGTGTATTACAGACAAGAAAGCTTTGTTTGATGACCTTATCTGTTGCCAGTTCATTAGATATTTCTATGTTAGAAACTCTTAAGGATGGTAGGAATACTTGTAGATCCTGGAGGTGGTTGACAATAAGCATGCCTTTCAGTGCTTTAACACTAACTTCTTTCAGTCAGCTTCATTCCATTCACAAAGTTTTAGTGTCCTGCCTTCCCTTGAATTAGCAGTGTCATGACTTTGAAGCAGATTCACGTGGCTGATAGGAAGTTTCTAACGGTCTTTAAGATATTTCCAAATGCAAAAAACTTCTCTCAGTGTTCTGCTTTGGCATACGACCATCTTTTTTATTCCTTCCCAAAGCTTTCTGTGCCCTTTCCAGCAGGCTGTGCCTTTGCACTCATCCCATTACGTAGAACACTCGCAGGGCCAGTGGCCTCGCCTGCAGCTGTTGAAACGTGCAGAAACACAGAAATGTTCTGGTCTTTGCTGTGTTGGTTTTCTCGTCTGTGACCTAAGTGAGATTCTTGGGATCGTAGCAGTGTTACGCAGCAATGAAACAAGACCTTTGTTTCAGAACAATAAATGACTGTAGGCAGAAATTCTTCTTAGTTTCTTAAAATGTTGGTCATCACATCTCTTAACAACTTTTGCATAAGCACTTTGGCACGTTTGGGTTTTTTTAATTGTTTTCTGTAAAACATTTCAAAATACCTTCAAGAAACAAAGTCTTTACCTCACAGTAGCAGATTTGTTAAGGTTTATACGACTGTTCTGTATCAGTCTGAATTATTTCATACTGATGTTTCAGTTTAACTGCATCTGAATTGGTTCAGTTTCGAGTTGGTGTGCAGCAGCTGGCCTTGGGGTTCAGTCCTTACTGCAGTCGACTTCTGCCCTGCCCTGGAATGGGGAGCAGAATCCCGAGAGGATGGAAAATCCCTCCCAGCATCATGTACAATGCCATTTATTTTTCCTTACTGCCTCAGGTTTTGATTGTAGCTGATTCTAGTCGTTCGCTGCCTAAGGAGATGGAGTTGTGTGTTGTTGTTAAAACACTGCCCTTATGTGTTTTCATTAAACATCTACCAGTTTGCTACTGCAGATGGGTATACCGTGTCAAATAGATGAGGCAGTACTTCACTTTTTGTAATCCTGTCTTACAAATATGCCAAACTGAATTTTATTAAATATCCAAAAATGCACTAAGACAAAAGCGTAGAGCAGTCTGCATGTAGCACAGGATGGTGAGGCGCTTTGCCAGTGATTACTTCAGAGATCATAGCTCAGTGAAAGACAATTAATTCCTTTATGTGAAATAGCAAATACAGCTCAAGCTGGAAGCGTAGCAAAACAGGGTGGGAGAAAATTGGGGAATGGAGAAGACTAATTTGCTGGTGTAATGCTAGAATGGGACGATAAAAGTAGGATGGCAAAGTTTTTGACTCCAACAAACGAGAACAAGCCCAAACACAGCAGCCACAGACACAGAAATGAAGGAGAAAAGCTGCTTACCTTTGGAAGCTCTCAGGTAGGCAGGGATCTCCAGCAAGATACCCTCACCTACTGCTAACCCTTAAATGAGGTCTGGGAAAAGGTGGATCCTGGCTCCACCCCTTCTGGCCACTCAGGAGCATTGCACACACCTGAGCTGCCTGGGTTGGCCCTGCCTTCCCATCAGGTGCTCAATCACCGTTTCAGGCCATGACTTTGCATTTCCACTACAACTGGATTCTTGTCTCTGGAAAAATGAGAAACTCTCTTCAGTTACAAGTTTTTGTTGCACTCAAGGCTGTGAACCTTTTCCCCATCGTTCTTGCGTTAGCAGCCAAAACTGTCCTTGGCAGCCCTAAGGCTGTGCCCAGTGTTTATATACTGTTTATATATTATTATTCAGTAGGTCAGTTGCTAACATGGTGCTGCATTTGAGTTCCACCAAGTACGGTGATGAGGAATTTAGTGATGAAAGCTCCCTTTGTTTAGACTGTAGAATCTGTTGGTAGTTGCTGATTTAACTACACCAATCTTACTGACAATTTCACATTCAAAAAAACCCCACCCTTCTAATATGTCATCTATCGTAGTTGTAGGAGCACTTTGCTGCCATTCTTGTCCCATCATTCTGCTGTTAATGCTTTCTGTAATCCATCGTCTGGCTTGACACCAAGGTTTTAAGGCCTTTTCTTTATTCTCCTTGCTACTTACCAACTGTCATGTATTGCTGACATCTCTACCACCTTTGTCAGCCTTTCCCATCCGCAGCCTCATGCTTTCTACTGTCAGTAGAAAGGCCCTCTTGCATAATCCCAAAGGAATTGAATCCAACTCACATCTATAATGTACATATTAATCTTTCTATCAAGCCCTATCAGGAATAGCTTTGCAGAACAATCTGGAAATTATCACTTTCTCTGTACCCCATATAGGAGGTCATGATTCCTATCATTACTGGTTTCTTCTCTAGTCCTCTATTCGTAGTGGATCTGTCTTGTAAAATGATGAGTGCTGTGTGAAGGGCCATCTTTGTTAAGTACAACGTCACTCAAAGAGGAACTCAATTTCCTCTGCATAAAGAGATGTTTTAGTCAAAAAGGAATTGCTCATGCAAGGTCACTAAATGTCAGCGTGGTTTCTCCTTTTTTCTGATTGATTGTCCAACATCAGCTGTTGCTGAATCCCATCCTAATCAGGCTGAGAAGCTGGTGAAATTCCATTCAAATATTAAGAAGATTGATTAGTTCAAGAATTCTGTTCAGTGTTACATTATGCATATTTTTACAATATTTCTGATACTCATAAGGAATTGAATTTAAGATTTAGTATTACCAAAAGACTTAAATATTGTCAGTATTTTGCTGCAGGATCAATTGTCATTAATTGCTAGTTGTCTTTGAAAATTCAGAATTAATTCTTGTGTATATAATAAATAAGAACTCTTCCTATTGCATTGAGTAAAATAAATACATAGAACCAAAAAAAAAAAAAGGCATACATTTGTGTGTGCGCTTTGAATTAAAGGCTTGTACAGAGTGCTAAATTCTAAGTCTAAGCCAATAAATAGATTGTCACTGGTTTATTAACATTTCCCAGGGAGGATTTGATAAAGACCTGCATTTTACATACTGACTAACTTTGATAACAAAGTATTTGAATTCAGCTGTAAGTAAAACTGGTAAGAAGAGGAAGGCTATAAACTGTCAGCATGGTCTGGTTTAAGTTTCATAGCTGCATCTCTTTGGTGCTGGGAGATGGCTGACTCTATTTGTTTTTATATTTTTGCCTTCAGACTATAGATTTTGAACTTGACCCTATCATAAGATGAATCCTGACTCAATGGATTTGGTTGAGAAGAACAGCACAAAAGAAACTTTAGGATGCCTTGCACCGAGCTGCATCCTTGTACCCGAGGAAGTGCAAACATGCACAGATGTCACACTAGAATCCTATATACTTTAATGTGTTCATTTAAAGATGGAAATTAGGTACATTTCTGAAACAGCTGAATTTTTTCTTACCAAATATGTTCACTTCTATTTCTTCTGGCTTGATGGATAGAATGGTTATGGCCTTATTGGCATGACTTGAAAATCCAGATAAATATTCATAGTAGGTAAAGGGAGCATTGGAGTTATATCAAAAACATGACAAAAAGGACATCTGAATTCCTGTTTCTCATTGCTGCTTGATTGGCTGTACTCCATTATACATTGTGTTTGAATTTTCACACAGAATCCTTGCCTGTTTTTAATGTCAGTTATACTGTAAGTTATGCTTGAAAGCAACTTCTGCATTTTATTTTCCAGTACCTTCGTCAAGTAAATTCCGCTCACCCGCAGCGCCGTCTCCCCTTGCTCTGCGGCAGCCGCTGAAAGCGTTTGGTAACCACGGACCTGCTTCTGTTGCTCCTCTGGAAGCCACGCAGCTGACACACAGCAGTTCTTCACCGGGGCCTCTTGCAGCTCAGAGTTCAGGCTTGCCCAGCCCTGCCAGCGGTGTTAACAGCACCACCCTCACCAGGCCGGCAGGGACAACGGGAATGAGGAGTGGTTTGCCCAGACCCAGTGCCCCTTCCACGGGGGGCATCCCAGTGCCTCGTAGCAAACTTGCACAGCCTGTTCGCAGGTGAGTGTGAGAAAGGCAGTCCAAATGTTTGGTTTGCACACTGATTTCTGTACGTTGTATATCTCTGCTGTCCCTTACTGCAATTTTTAGTTTGGTTCCAGGTCTTAAGAAATGACAGAAATGGAAACCTCCACGGCAAGTGTTTGTGTTTTCAAAAAGGGGTTTGGAGCAAAACTGAGAGAAAATGTTTCTTGAATTGGGATGGGAAGATGGGTGAAGCTGAAATGAATAATGAAAGATGCTGAACTAAAAAAGTGTCACAGCATGGGGCTGCGAAGGCAAAGATTTGTTCTTCTGTGGTTTAAAAAAAAAGTCACCAAAATGTAGCTGGCAAATGAAAATTTATTTGTACCACTGAGTGACACAGTCTGAAGTTGTTAGAACTACTGAAGCTCCTTTTGCAAACCGTGTCAAGTAATGGCACCACAATAGAACACTTTTCGTTAGGAAGGAAGGCTCGTTAACAACAGAGGGCTCATCCATTGGGTATTCTTAACCTAACGTAAATATCAGTGCAGTTAAGCCACAGGATGAAAGAAAATTTTCAACTCAAACATAACCTCTGTGTCAGCAGCCACCTGTGGAAGTTGCTGAATGTCAGAGTTTCAGAAAGCAACCACAAGAGAAGCTAATTGTCAGCTGGAAGGTTACATGGACAGTTTGTCTTCAGAGGAATAGAAGGAAACGGTGCATAACTTGGAATATGTGCTTTTAATGCCAGGCTAGTGTGTGTTTTCACTGTAGGTGTCAAGTGGAAGACACCTGACGTAAGGAAGCAGTCATCCATAAGGAATATTGAGAATCCCCTTAAGCAGAAAGAAAAAACAGTTCTCTCCAGTATCATAGGAAAGGTGAAACAGTCTTAAAGAGCAGTTCTGCTGTGAGTGTTGGGCAGGGAACAAGAAGTGACTCGCAGTACTGACTGTTTAATACTCCATAAGCAGCATTATATTATACTATTATAAACAGCAAGGGTGGTTTTTTCTACAGAAACTTTTTAAGAGAAGCAAAGTGTAGTTGTCCAAATCCCAGCTGGCCTTAGAAGTGCTTCAGTTATTACACAGCTCTTGTACATGCTGTAGGTACAGCATGCAGTAGCTGTAGGCAGTGCAGTAGTGAAGTATCAATGAACTTCCAAGATTCTGATGTAAGGAAAGTACTCTAAAAAGGACCTCTCTGCTTATACAGAAAAAAAAAAAGCTCATTTTTAAATCTGTGTTCTTGTAGAATACAGTAAAAAATGTTTTCTGACTGTTTATTTAGACGGTTTTGTGATGGGATAATTGCTAAGTTCATAAACTGAAAAATACTTTGGAGTTTATGTTAAAAAAACTGTACTGCAGAGAAGCAAATGAGTGAAGTGTGTACTTTATTTTAAAAACACTTAAGCTCTTACCTATCGTAGATGGAGACTTCAGCTGTTGTGTATGAAACTGAAAAACATCTCCTTTTCTTTCAGGTCATTACCTGCTCCCAAAACCTACAGCAACATGAAAGATGAGAGTTGGAAAGATGGCTGCTATTGAACTGCAGAGCTTAATGCAAAGTTCCAGTGCTCATGGATGCTTCCTCCCCAGGCTAACACACAGCTTGATTCTACAGACTGTTCGGATGTGACTTTTGGGATTTGTATGAATTCCAGACCTCTCTGTCTCTAATTAGCACAAGCTGGCAGAGATTATAAAGCAGCACTTTAATGACATCTAACATCAGATGTTTGGTGGTCATACAATCACTTTCACATTAAATTGCTCTCAGTTATGTTTTGGGGTTTTTTTTTTCTTGCTTGCTAAAATGGGTCAATTTGAGCATTTATGACAGCAGCCAATGTCTGGGCAAGAACCTAACGAATGCCAAAGAAATGCCCATCTTGGAAAACAGCAAGTACAACAATCACTTAGGTTTTCCAAAACATCCTCTTCAACCTATTTTAATTCAACAGAAAGGTTGGAAATACATACTAATTAAACAAGGCTACGTTGATATTCTGATTGCAGACTGCTACAGTGCTACTGAAATATTGCTGTTAACAATTGAATGAGATTCTTATTGGGGAAAGTGGTACATACATCCTTCAGGGAGAATCAGAAGCTACTCTGGAAGATTAGGCAGAACAGTAATGAGTAGCCATGGCTTTTATTAATGTTAAAGGTTTGAACGTAGCAGACGTACACAAATGCAATAGTATAGATTGCATCTTTCCTGTGTTGATTTATCAGCTTTACATGCTCTTACTGCTTGATTGCCAAAAGGGCTTAGCATCAGTTGTACAATCTTTCTGACCTTAAAGTTCCTGGCTCAGGAAAGATGGCCTTTGCTGTTGTAGCCACATTTTTAACACATTACTCACTATTTGGGGAAAACTTTTTTTATAGCAGGTTTCCTTAAAAAGGAACAAGCAAGTAGTAACGTTCATTCATTGTCATACCATACCACTATGCTTGCAGCCTGGAACACAACTGTAAATGCTGGTAGTAGAGGAGAAGGAAACACAACTATGCACTTGTAACATACAAATTTTAAGGTGAGTTGACTCTTGATGCCAAATGATATTCATTTAGGTGATGTTCCATGGTATGAGGGAGTTTTCTGTATCCTATTTTTTTACTTTCATCCATTTCTTAAATTGGTTTATTTTAAATTGTAAATATTTTTACAGAAGATATTTCCCATGTAAGTAAGTGTGTTTTAAATATGTACTTTGCCTTACATATGTGTATCTTACATTACTGGTAATAGAGTATGAAACCTGCTATGTCTGTTTACAAGCTCTTAAATTTCTCCTGTGGCTCTGACATATTCTAACACTCATGTTTTTCTCAAAACAACTCATTTATATAATTAGCATTTGAACCGTCATTTTCTGTTTCAGAAGACATCATACAAACACTTGTAACTAAGGTCGTGTTGGTGGGACAAGTTAAATGGAAGGGATTTTGTTTGAGGCTTTTTCAGTGTGTTGGATGTACAGTCAGTGAAATAATGAAAGGTGAGTGGTATCCTTTGTGCAATGACTGACAAACACTACAGGTTGGATCAGGCAGCAGATAGCCTTCAGCCCCTGAGTTTGGAACTGCTGGTGTATTTTGACTCCCACCAAGAGGATAACTAACCCTGAAATCCATGCACTTGAGTTTTAGGCAGGCGTTTGCATATTCCTGGATAAAAAGCCATGCAATACTACTTGTGTTGGAAGAAGCCAAACAGAAAGTAGCAGAGACTGATTTGCTCTTAATTACTCAAGCGGCTGTAGGCAAGCTATGGAGTGATGAGCGACTTCACACTCCAGACCAGTATCTGTGCTGAGACTTTGCCATCGGTATCAAATATACTGTAATTCATAAGATTCCAGCGGAAGTCACCTGCTGAAACAAGCTGGTCTTGCATTGCTGGCACAGACAGCGGATGTCAGTAAGTGTCGCACGTGGCTGTTAAGTAGAAGAGGTCAAATGCACCTGTTCCCATCAAAGACAGAATTTTTAACATGTCAGCATTTTACAAAGCAATGCTGCTTCACTGAAAAAAGAGTTTACTTTTAATTGGTGGATTTTATTAAACACCTTGGTTGACTTTTAGAAGTCCGTTTAGAGGACAATACTGGGGTTTTACCATGGCTGCATCAAACTGTTTTGTAAGTTTCCTTAAGTAATTTGTTACTTGGCTAAATTCAGCTTCAGTTCTTAAGCATTCTTTTCTCTGCTGTTCTACTCCCCCTGAAATACAACAAACAGCTTCCTGAAAAGACAGACTGTCTGTTTACTAGAAAGCCTTCGTGCATTACCAGTTTATTGATATCAGGAAATCATGGGGCTCTGTGTTTAGAGATTTACTGCAGAAGTGTGGAAATATGGATTTGATAAACTAGTGCCTATGATTTACTTAACTTATGTTTGATATAGTAGTAAGGGTTTTATGAATGTGGATTACTTTTTGTGCCAACAGCTCGGAATTGTTGTATGTATGTAGGCAGAAAGACTCATTCTGCTTCCAAAGTTATTTAATTTTTTTTGTTTGAATGTTTTTTGTAAGTGTTAAAGTGTAAAAATATATAAAATATTCTTACCACAAAATACTGCCCTCATCATTCATATAACAAACTGTTTATGAAGTCTTTGTGTATTTATAGGGCGGTTTTTTTTAGAGGTTCTTGTTGGATTATTTTTTTGGGGGGGGAGGGGGAAGGAGAGGGGGCGTTCCCTTCTGAGAACTGTATTCACTTCTTCAATCCTGAACATCAGCTACTGTCCCTGCAGTTCATGAAGTGAGTACAGTGCTGTTATTTGCCTCTGCAATTCCCTCAGTGAATTGAGGTACTATTGCTGCGCTCAGAGGCCTCTGCTCTCTAAGGACAGTGTGCAATTCAAGTAACATTCAAGGTTGGAAAAGACAGCTGAGATTATCCATCACCCCCTGCCAACTAAGCCATGCAGCACTGGAGGACATCTGCGTGGTTCTCAAGATACCTCCAGGGCTGGGGACTCCACCACCTCCCTGGGCAGCCCGTTCCAATGCCTCGCCACTCGTACTGAGAAGTTTCTCCTAATATCCAACCTGATCTTCCCATGCTGCAAACTTAAGGCTATCATTTCTCACCCTATCACTGTTACCTAAGAGGAGAGGCTGATCTACCACCTCACTACAACCTCCTTGTGGGTCACTGTAGAGAACTCAGGTCTCCCCTGAGCTCCTCCAGACTAAAGAGCTGCAGTCCCCTCAGCCACTCCTCGTAAGACTTGTGCCCCAGACCCCTCACAGCTTCCTCACCCTTCTCTGGACACACTCCAGGGCCTCAGTGCCTGCTGAGGGGGCCCAAAACTGAACAGTACTCAAGATGTGGCCTCACCAGTGCTGAGTACAAAGGGACCATCACCTCCCTGCTCCCACTGGCTGCACTATTTCTGATACAAGCAGAATGCTGTTGGCCTCCTTGGGCACCTGGGCACACTGCTGGGTCACATTCAGCAGCTGTCAGCTAACACCACCAGGTGTTTTTCCTCTGAGCAACTCTTGTTGCTACCTAAGGGTGGGACTCAGCACTCGGCCTTATTGAAGCTCATACAATTGGCCTCAGCCCATCAATTCAGATCCCTCTGTAGGGCCTTCCTACCCTCAGGCAGATCCTCACTTCCTCCCAGCTTGGTGTCATCTGGGAACTGAGGGTGCACCAGTCTGAGAACTGAGCATGTACTCAATTCCCTCACCCAGATCATCAGTAAAGACATTAAACAAGACTGGCCCTAGTACTGACCCCTGAAGAACATTGCTCATGATGGATTTAATTTATATCATCCTCTGGATCCAGCCATCCAGAGGGTTTTTCACCCAGTAGAGAGTGCACCCATCCAAGGAATGGGCTGCCAGCTTCTCTAGGGGAGTACTCCAGGGACAGAGTCAAAGGCTTTACTAAAGCCTAAACAGATTACATGAAAAGCTGTATTCTGAATTGTCATCCCAGTGATTTATGTAAGTCTCTAAGTGCAGAATCTGCCTTCTATCTTTACAGGATAGAATTCATGCTCACTTCAGCAGAGGAAACAAAAAATTCTCATTACAAAAATTTGGGAATTTATGTAGAAAATTGAGCAACCTAAAAAGTGTATCCAGCAAGCCTCAGTTCAGCTGTTAAGTTTTACCTAGTTCAAACACAAATGCCTTTATGTTACAACTGATAACATGTGGACAAGAAACTGGATATATGCATTAAGAACAGTACAGGCCAACAATTCTTCAACCCATTGCTTTCTGTTATCTCCTCCCAAGCAATATTGCATGCTTGTACTGTATCTTCTGTTCTTTGTTGCCTGCTTGGGTTCACACAGCAGCAAGAAGTTTGCTTAGAATTTGGTAACGTGCATTTTGCTACAGCATAACATAAGCAATAGCCAGCATGCTCTCCCACACCTTGAATCATTTATACTGCTGTTGTATTAACGGTGGGTGATTGCTTTTACTGCTGCAGTAGCTGGAAATCATTCAACTTCATAGCTGTGAAATCCATGACCCTTTGAGCAAGATGTCTGCAGTAACCAATGTTCAGGCTCTTCACAGGCCTTTAAAGCGTTCTCATGGAGGTGCCACATACAAATCCACAGCAAGAGCACAGCTTCAGATTCAGTAAGCCTGTTTCCATAACACAAATGCCATCCTTTCATCATGGCAGCATTAGAATATTTAAGCTGGACTTACTTCTATATGGTAAACAGACCTAGCGTGATTTGTGCAATGAAATTCAACCAGTGAGACTCACCATGTATTCCAGCATAGTCCCCTGGTTTGTAATGAAACATCCAGATCAGAATGTTTTCCCCGAGGCAGCTTACCTTCTAAAGCTGACTTCACTCCTCCTGCCCCTTGGATGCAAGCTGCTCCTTCCCTTTGCCTTTTGGTTCAGCAATCAAACATGGTTTGCTTCATGCTCCTTCAGGAAAACCTAGGGCAGCATCAAAATCATAGGCAATTTGGTTGCCTTTTCTACGTCTCTCCTAGCAGGTTTCTATAATAAACTCTTCTGTATTAAACTTACACTGAGCATCATGATTCTGCCAACGCTTAGAATAATATAAACACTAAGGTTGGAAAAGACCACTAAGATCATCCAGTCCAAACGCCAACCCAATATTCCATGCCCACCAACCTACACCCCTCAGCACCTCATGATTTCAAAGGGAAGAGAGTATTTTTTTCCCCACAGTCCTCTCAGGCTGCAGGAAGGTGTGACCGCTCCCATGTCGGTGCTGCAGAAGCATTGGGGCAGGTTCTACAGGACAGTGCATTACTCACCTTCAGCTGAGCTGGGGAAGTAAATGTGAGTGGGGCTTATGCTGCTGCTGCTGTCTGTTAGTGACTGCAGAGCACTCCACTGTGATCATCTGAAACTCACTTTTACTACAAATACTTCTGAGAAAGACAAATCGCAGCAAACTTCATTAAATACAACAGCAATGTGTTTTTAGTTCTGCCTCTTGACCTGTAAGAGCAAGAGTTTGTTGGGTTTTTTAAACCTATTAAGTTAAAAAGTGTGAAGTTAGATTGCTGCAAGTGAGAAACAAACAAGACAGAAAAGCCCATAGAATTACTCTTGAGCATTGGCCGTCCTCTAGCACAAGGCTGACACCTGCAGGCAGTCTGAGCACAGCTTTGGTCTAGGAAGGTGAGGCTGGGATGTGGGCAGCGCTTCACACAGAACTTCAGCACAGCGAAGAAACCTTTCCCTCCCAAAGCCTTGCGTTAATCCCTGGTTTGCAGTTCAGGAACTGAAAGGAGCCAACCCTCCTTCAGGCTCACATTCTGTAGAACTGCTCACTTTACAACGGGATCCCCAGTCCCAGTGTCTCACTCATTCTGTACATCACTGCCTTCCCATTACACAACAGCTCCGCTGTGACTGCACTGAGCACTGCAGGAACAGAGTACAGCTGTGGTGGTTACACTTACTTACAGCTCTTCAGCACAATTACAGGCACAGGTAATTGAAGTGATTCCCTACCCACAAACGGGGTTTTCAGCACCCTCCACTTCTGTTGCAATCAGTTAATTACAAGGTCTCTATGGATTAAAGTTCTGTATCACTCTTCCCCAGTCAGGCTCCCAGGCTAAACTAGGGGCCATAGTAACCCCACACTGAAGGTCAGACAGGACAGGGCTCTGAGCACCCTGACTGAACTGTAGGCATCCCTAATCATTGCAGGGCAGCTGAACTAGAAAGGCTTTAGAAGACCCCTTCCACCTCAAGTGATTCTATGATACTTTCCTCAAGGTACATCTCCCAGGTGTTTTGCTTCCCTTCAGTTAGTACCACCAGACCAACCCATACACCCAACTACAAAAAATTCATTACCTAACAGAACTTCACTCACCTCTCTCTTTTAACCCTAGGTTAATACATCTTCTGCTCACAGTGTGCTCCAGTAGCAGCCAGAATGCTAATAGGAGAAAGCAACAGACCAAGCACTAATTGAGAGCTTCCAGCTCAGAGCTAGATACACCAGTCCACCACACAACCTGCTGTGTGAGAAGAGCTCTCTTTATCAGCATGAAGCTGGGCAGAACAGGTGCTGCTCATGACAAATCTTCCTGATGCTCCTCCTTGAGAAATGCAGTTTCACTGAAGCAGGTGCTGCCTTTTAGAGCCTCATGAGGGATGAAGGAGTTGGGGAACACTGGGCAAACCCTCTGCCCCTGCCTTAGCCTCTGAGTTTTCCACGAATCTCTCCCCTACACACTGATGTGGAGCCCAGCACAAGGTTAAGTTGTTTATGTTCATCCACCCCCAGGCTAATACAGATGCAAACCCTGCTAATGCTGCTTTAGCTGACTTGAACACAAAGGAATTAGGAAACCTTTGCCCTGATTCCATTTCAAGCAGTGCCTGGATATCAGTGGCAGCAGTGTTGTGTCACTGCTGTCACCTGGCTTCAGGATCAAAGAATTATTAACAGTCATTAAGTGGGCTGCAGGCGACCCTCCTCTGGTTCCCTGCTCTGCCACACACTGCTGGTGATGTTGATGTATTTTCCTGGGGGCTCAGTCCTTTGTCAGCACCCTGTGGCTGGGAGGGAGGGGTGGGCACTCTGCTATTTAGAGACAAGGGTCAGCTGTGGGCATCCTCTCATCTGTGGCAGTGAGGTGAGCTACAAATGGAAATTTGGTCAACATCTGTTTATAAGACCAAATGTCACAGAGCAGATAATGTCTATTGTAAATGTCAGAGTTGATAGAATTTTTTTTTTTTGTGGGGGTGGATTGGTGAAAATCTTAGCAAAGATTTGGTTCCTGTATTTATGTTGCCATTTACACAGGCCTGGATCAATGCTCAGCATTGCCTAGGCTGCACTCTAGGCACAGGAACACTGCAGGACACCAGAGCCTGTGTTGCACAGCACCCAAGCCTGGCTCAGTCCTCCTGGCCAGGAGCTGGGCTGAATGCCTGTACTGCAGACCTTACAAAAAGCAATGCTCACTGTTGGGCTTAGACCCCCATAGCCTTTGTGGGTAGCACTGCCCACATCTCAGCACACTGCAAGCACTCCCATCCCACATTTTGTGCTGTTCCCCTCCACCAAGCTTTACATTAGCAGAATGTCTTCTTTATCAGTGTGTTCCCACTTCCTGCATTTTTCTCGTTATGAAGATAATTAAATAATATTAATTACCAATGTGAATCACTGAAATTGGTCTATCAGTAATCGCGTGATAAAATTAAAACAACAGAGAGATCACATTTACAGACCACTCCACTCTGCTCTCAGCCTTTCCATTGCACTGTCTGGCTCTGATGCCTTTGTCACTCTGACAAGCGCTGCTCAATTTCCTAATTTTGATCTCCTGTTTTCTCTCTGCCCCACTTCGCATGAGAATCACCCTTCCCACACAGCACTGTGACTCCATTCAAAACAGACAAGGTATCATTCAGGGTCCCTTTCTTGCACTTCACCTTTTATCCTTAATCATTAAGGTTGGAAAAGAATACTAAGAACATTTAGTCCAACTGCCAACCCACCACCCCATGCCCACTGACCATGTCCCTCAGTGCCACATCTGCATGTTCTCTAAACATCTCCAGTGATAATGACCCCACCACCTCCCTAGGCAGCCCATTCCACATTTTTGGAGAAGAAATTCTTCTCCCACCTCACTACAACCTTGCTTCAGGTCATTCTAGAGAGCTCAAGTCTCTCAGCCTGCTCCAGACTGAACAATCCCAGTTCCCTCGGCTGCTCCTCGTAAGACTTCTGCTCCAGACTCTTCACAGCTTCCTTGTCCTTCCCTGGACACATTCCATGGCCTCAGTGCCTTTCTTGTGCTGAGGGGCCCAAAACTGTCCTCAAGATGTGGCCACCCCAGTGCAGAGTACAGAGGGACAATCACCTCCCTGCTCCTGCTGGCTGCACTGTTCCTGATACAAGCCAGGATGCCACTGGCCTTGTTGGCCACTTGGGCACACTGCCCACAAGACCTGGCACCTGGTATTGCTAAAGCTTATACAAATGGCTTCAGCCTATCCAAATCCCTCTGTAGGCTTTCCTACTCTCAGGCAGATCCTCCCTTCCTCCGAGTTTGGTGTCATCTGCAAACATACTGAGCATGCATTCAATCCCCTCACCCAGATCATCTGTGAAAACATGAAACAAGACTGGCCCCAATACTGACCCCTGAGGAACACCATCACGACCTGTTGCCAGCTGGATTTAACTCCATTCACCAGCACCACTCTCTGGGCCTTATGATTTTGGCTACCCAGATTTTTTCTGGGCTGTGAACAAAGCACCCCACCTGTCCAGACAGCTGCTGATGGGGGCTGTGTGTCTGTCTGCAGCACCTGCCTGCAGCCAGCAGTGGGGTCAGCAAGCCCAGGGATGGAACACTGCTCCACGCTTCTTATACAATACCTGCCTGGCACCCCAACACAGAAACAAAAGCCTTTGCTGACCCAAATCACCTTCCCAGTGAATCAGCAGGGCCACAACATCCAGAATGCATTTCCCTGACCACAGTGACACAGCAGTCCCACTAAGATCACAGGATCAACATGAAGATCGTGTGGGTTATTAAAACAAGCCTCACCTCAGCGAGGTTTTAGAAGAGCACACGCGCTGTGTGTCAGGGCTCTTTTTCATCAGATCAATGTACAACACTCTCTAGTAGGAGTATTAAGAGCTTCCCATTGTGTGTGAGATTTATTTCTTCCCATTCTCCTGAGATTTCTTTGTAAATTGATGGAGATTTAATTTAGGTAACAGCACACCTGGCTTGCGGTCTGGCCTTGCTTTGTTCATGCGCTGATCAGTGCCACAGATATCCATTTTCATTATTCTGTAAAAATCTGGCAGTGGGACAAGGACCATTTTTATTCCATGTTTATGCAACTTTGCCGTAAGAGCAGCAATGCCAATGAGAGTGGAGTGTAGAGGGCTGAGGCAGAGCAGTACTGCTGCTGTTGACCTGTCCCATGGGCTTATTTCCAATCTGAAGAAAGCTTCAGCAGCAGAGGGCTGGGATTTGTCTTTAGGATGTCCTTCCTCAATTAAATTAACACTCCATGTAGCAAACAATGCTGCAGGAGTCTTTAAATTCACTCCTGTATTTTTTTGACATTCAAACTGTTCTGTAGGAAGATGCAGTCTCAGTGTCATTTACTCTGACCTGGCTTTAAAAAAACAAAACCAAACCACAGCCCATATTTTAGAGGCACAAGACGACATTTATGCGCTTCACCTCGTATGATTTATGTCCCTAACTGGGTTAGGTTCCTGCATAGGAAATGAAGTGGGGCTTCAAGCCTCCATGGGAAACAGAAGCTTCTAACCCAGCTGGGTCAGGGCCAGGAACAGCACCTCCCAGCCCACCACCATTTGTCACTTTGTGCACATCCCATCATCAGCACGCTGCAGTCATCTCACTCTGCATGAGCACCTGCAGCACAACGCGTTTGTGTTCCAACCCCCCCAGCCCTGTGCCCAAGGGGGTTCCAACCCTGGGTTGCCAGCAGAGCCTTGCAAACGCAGAGCTCTGCTTGCAGCCTGGTTCTGAGCTCAGGGGTGAGCTTCAGAGGCAGCCCCGCCATCCCCAGCCCTGCCATCCCCAGCTCCGTTGTTCCCTGCCCCTGCCTGGCTGGGCACAAAGCTAATTCCGGCTCCTCTGCACTGAGACATGCATTAGTCATCCGGTCATTTATTTTATTATGCCTTTCATCGTGATGCTGATGGTGCTCCCACACGAAAAAAAAAAAAAAAAGATCTCAGACAGCAACGGAAGGCAGCAGTGCCTGAGGCAGAACGATTTCCTATTTAAACTCAGGTAAAGGTATCTAACATGCAACACATAGTTGCAAACAAAAATATAGTAAGGCAGCCTCTGAACCCACACTATTAATACCTGCTTTACAGCTGCAGGGGTGCAACCGCCTCAGCAGATGTCCATCAGCAATCCATTTGCAGGATTAGCCCTTCTCCCACGGGCCAGGAGCCCGCCTGTAATGGGATGGCTGGCAGAGGGATCTGCCTCTCAGTTTTGGAAGGTGGATCACACATAGTTAGGACGCTCAGTCCTAATGGTGAAATACTGGAACACAGCGACCTGAGTCCTCAAGTACTTCATCTGATGATTAATGGGCTTGAGGTGCTTTAAAAATAACCATGGGGCCAACTTCACCAAGTTGTACTTCACCAAGTACAACAGCGGGGTTTATTTCAGCAGTAATTTCTGCCCTGGACTGCTAACACAGAAATGCTCAGCAGGTCTGTGATTCAAAGGGAGGAGCTGCCCGCAGCCACGCAGAGGAAATGCAGCAGGCAACAGGGACACAAAGGAGATCGACAGCACAGCAGTGAGACTCACACTGCCGCATTCAGGTCATGGCCAGATTCTTCTCTACCACACCACCTCAACTTCGTAACAACACTCAGAGGTTACGAATGTCAGAGCACTTCTCAAGGAGGGAATAAATAGAGTGCAGACTGTGGGCAGAATTCAGGCACTGGCACAGCTGCCCAGAGAGCTGTGGGTGCTTCATCCCAGGAGGCACTCAAAGCTGGGTTGGATGAAGCCCTGGGAAGCCTGAGCTGGTTGCATGGGGGTGGAACTGGGTGGGCGTTAGCATCCCTTCCAACCCAAACCATTCCATGGTTCTATGATTTGAAATAAGAGTCTGAGGGAGAACAGAACTGTAATGAATGGGGGAGTTCAAACAGAGAAAAAGCGCTTCCATGGGATCTCATCTGCACAAGGAAGAAGCAAGGGTGCTGCATGCAGAAACCCAAGAAACAGGTTGAGAGGCCAGGCAGCTCCATGGCACCAGTGCAAGATGAACCAAAAGAAGGGAAGTCCCACAGCAGAAGAGGCTGCAGTGACTGGGACACGTGGGCAAGGACAAATGCTGCTGGCTGCTGCAAATGGCCCCGTGGCGCATGAGGGGATGCTGCCATCATCCTGCCACTATGCCCCTGCAGTGGCTCCCAGAAAGGAGGACAGGAAGCAACACATCTGGTTCTCTCAGCTTTTGCCTGAAATATGACTGGTCTGGGGTAGGAGTAATGCCCATTGATCCTGGTCAGCACGTCCTGACCAATGTCCTGAGGGTGCAACCTTCCCTCTTGAAAGAGGCAACAAGAGCCACCCACTCAGAGAAGGCCCAAGAACCAGCCAATATGGCCTTATCAGCACAAAGACAGCCATGAAAGAACCATCAAAATCACCAGCAAATCTGCATATTTGTATTTTGATTCCTAGCTCTCCAAAGACACAAGAAATAACCACTCTGGATTCATGTTATAAGTAGCAATGAACACACAGGTCTTGCTGTTTTCAAGGCCCAGAGGTCTCTCCTCGAGGCCTTTCCTCTCCTCTCCACACTCCCATCACTGCTCTGCAGACTGCCCAGCGCTGACAGGTGCAGGGCACAGCGCTTCTCCCAGGAGCAGAGCATTTCAACAACCGCTCCATGCACTGTGCTGAGAACTCACTGGCTGAACAAGCAGTGAGGAGACCTGGGTCATTCCTTACAGTCCGGTCAGCACTGCTCACAGCATGCACGTTCCCCTGCAGAAACCAAGCTCCTTCTGTGAGTAGTGAGAGCTGTAGTGGGACAACACTATTCCCCACGGTTACAAACAGTGCACAAGTGGCTGCTCTCTTTCCCACTCCTTGCTCTCACCACCTGTCTGCTCACCCAATTTTCAGCAGATGGAATAACGAGGAATAATTGAGAATAAAACACGACGGCTTTTATCTGCCATGTCTTTAACACGCCAGCAGTCGATGCGGCGCTTCCTGTGCTGCGGGCAGGCAGTGTGTGCCCCGCTCACAGCAGCAATCTGCACAGACTGAGGCACACTGCAGTGCCCCGTGCACGGGCCGGGCTGCAGCCTGCACCCTCAAGATGACACACCATGCCAGCCCATGGCCACCTGCAGAGATGATAACCACCACACTCAGTGCCAAGCGTAACATTTTTGCACTGCTCCTGATGTGACAATACCAAAGTGCTGCCAGGAGGGGGGGAGCCAACAGTTGGGTTATCGTGGCCTCCTCCTGCTGCTGCCCGCGGGATGTGCTACACGTTATGACATAGAATATCTGCCCACCACCGCAGCCAGCCTGGGCAGTGACAGTGGCAGATAGCACCCACACCTGCTGGGTGAGCTGCTGCACTGTGCCTGCATGCCCCCAGCAGCAGCAAACCATGGGGCACCGCAGCAGGAGGACGGTGCGATAAGGGAACTGAAGCCAAGCACCGGCAGCATGAGGGAGAGGAGAAGATTCAGCAGTGTGACACTTGAAGCACATACAGCGGAAACACAGTTTGGAACATTCAGCTTAAGAAAGCCAACCTGGCCCTGTGCTCTCCTTGGCCAGCGGCATGAAGCACAAAATACGAATGAATGAGTGGCAGAGAGCTGGGTCCCATCGGGCTGTCCAGCGCCGATGACTCATCCCGTGCTCTCCTTCAGTTAACGGCAAGGAAACGAGCACGGACGGAGCAGCACCGAACCCTGGGCGCCTCCTGCCAGTCCCACCCGGACACCCCCAGCGCCCAGCAGCGCCCCGAACTCCTACCCCCCTCCTCCCCTGGAACCAGCGGGAGATCTGCGGGGGGTGCCCCCAGCCAGGGCGCCTGTAGCGCGGCGCGGTACCGCCGCTCCCCGACCAGCTCGGTGCCCCCCCGCAGTCGTTGCGGGCCCTGCCCCCGCGAGAGGAGGGCGGCGGGGCCGGGGGCGGCGCTGGCGGCCGTCGGAGCTGCGGCGAAACACCGCCCCCGAGAGCGGCGGCAGACGGCGCGGAGCTCAGCGCGGGCTGCGGGCGCCCGTCACCCCCGAGGGTCCCGCGGCCCCGCCGTGCGCCCATGGCCGGCTCGGAGCAGCCGCCGGCGGCGGGCGGCGGCCCCGACGGCGGAGTGGCGCCGGGAGCCTCCGAGGCTCCGGGGGAGCGGCCGCTGAGCCAGGGGCTGAGCGTGCTGGTGGGGCTGGCGCTGTGCGTGACCATGCTGGGGCTGGGCTGCGCCGTGGAGCTGGGGCAGCTGGGGAGGCAGCTGCGGCGCCCCGTGGGGGTGCTGCTGGCGCTGCTGGGGCAGTTCGTAGCCATGCCGCTGGTCGCCTTCCTTCTCGCCCTCATCTTCGCGCTGGACGAGGTGGCGGCCGTGGCGGTGCTGCTGTGCGGCTGCTGCCCCGGGGGGAACCTCTCCAATCTCATGTCGGTGCTCGTCGACGGCGACATGACACTCAGGTAGGCACCGGGCGACGGGACGGGAACAGCGTGCAGCTCGGCCCCGGGGCCCCGATCCTACCACGGGCCGGGGAGGACGGGAGAGGGGGGTGTGTTTAGGCAGCTCCTGTCCCGATACGATTCACTGTACCTTTCGCTCCCCCGCAGCATCATCATGACCGCCTCCTCCACGCTGCTGGCTCTGCTCCTGATGCCGCTGTGCCTATGGCTGTATAGCCGGCCATGGATCCACACGGCGCTGGTGCGGCTGCTGCCCCTGGGAGCCGTCAGCCTGACGCTGGGCAGCACGCTGCTGCCCATCGGCCTGGGGGTGCTCATCCGCTACCGGTATCCCCGCGCTGCCGACCTCCTGGTCAAGGTAAGGGCACGGCAGCGGGCACCAGAGTGGCTATCGGTGCAGTGCAGAGGTTCTGAATGCACAGAGAGCAGAGGGGGTTCTCATGCTGTTAAACTCACAGCCTTGTGCTCTTTCTCGCTGTCTGTGGCCAGGTCTCTCTGTGGTCCCTCTTAGTGACCCTGGTGATCCTCTTCATTCTGACTGGCACCATGCTGGGGCCTGACCTGCTGGCGCACATCCCTGCCTCTGTCTATGCCATCGCCGTACTGATGCCGCTGACGGGGTATGCCCTGGGTTATGGTTTGGCCACTCTCTTCAGAATGCCCCCGCACTGCCGAAGAACGGTGTCTCTGGAGACTGGCTGCCAGAACGTTCAGCTCTGCACCGCCATCCTCAAGCTCACCTTCCCCCCGCAGCTGGTGGGCGGCATGTACATGTTCCCCCTGCTCTATGCGCTCTTCCAGGCAGCAGAAGCGGGGCTCTTTGTGCTGGCCTACAAGGTGTACGGCAGAGACGGCCCCAAGCAGGAGATGCTGGGCGAGGAGGAGGACACAGACATCTCCTACAGGAAGCTGAAGGAGGAGGAGGTGCCCGATACCTCCTATGGCACGGTGACCACTGAGGAGCTCGGTGCTGCTCCAACAGAGCCGGCACAGACAGCGCTGTAGGCAGATGCTGGGGTGACAGCCGGGGCCATGTGCTGTTGTTGAGGTGACAGCGTGCTTGTCATGAAGCCATGCTTGTGCTGGGTGCACTCACTCGGACTCTGTTGTTGTTCCAGCTGCTCCCGTCGTACAAAGTGACGTATGTTTATTGCCATCACTGGTGTATTTCCTCAAAAGTATATATAAATAAAAAGAATAATAATAATAAAAGAGGAGAAAGTATCACTGCTGCACAACTCAGTGACGGCTCCTCTCCGTGCAATGAGGCTCCCGTCCGTGCGAGTGTGGAAGAAGGAGCGCATTCCGAGGGGCCGAGGGGCTGTCACCTTGCACGTGTCTCCACGCTCCCGTCGTAAAATACCGTGCTGTCCGCGCTCGCCGCAAATACGCGGCCGAGCCCAAACCAAACCCGCGTTGCGGCCCATTCGTCACGTGGAGGCAGCGCGAGCACCGCTCCCCTCAGCTCACCGAGCCCCGCGGGCGGCCCGAGGCCCCAGGCCGGGCTTCAGGCGGGCGCCGCCGGGGCGTGGGGAGCCGGGCCCCGCCCCGGGGGTATTTAAGGCCGCCCCCAGCCGGCCGTCGAGGCGCCATGGCCGAGGACGCGATGGAGAGCTACCTGTACGCTGCCTACCCGCCCTACTCGTACCGCTACCCACCGCCCAAGGGCAAAGGCGGGTCGGGCGGCTGGCGGCCGCGGGGCGGCTACTTGGCGGGCTACGGGGAGGCGGCGGCGGCCGCGGCCGAGTACTTCGACAACTACCAGCGTGCGCAGCTGAAGGCCATCCTGTCGCAGGTGAACCCCAACCTGACCCCGCGGCTCCGCAAGGCCAACACCAAGGAGGTGGGCGTGCAGGTCAACCCGCGGCAGGACGCCTCGGTGCAGTGCTCCCTCGGGCCCCGCACGCTGCTGAGGCGCCGGCCCGGCCTCGCCCCGTCGCGACCCCGCGAGGCGGCCCCGGAGCAGGAGCAGGGCAGCCCGGTCACCACCGGCACCCGAGCCGTGCGCTTCCCGCGCACCGTCGCCGTGTACTCGCCCGTGGCGTCCCGTCGTCTCACCGCCTTCCCCGAGGAGCCCGAGCCGCCACCGCGGGAGCCCGAGGCGTCGCGGGAGCCCGAGGCGTCCCGGGAGCCCGAGGCGCCGCCGGCCCCGGCAGCCGTCGAGGAGGAGCGGCGCGAGGCGGAGGCGGTGCGCGCCAGCTGGGAGAAACCGCCCGAGCGCGAGGCCGCTCCGCTGGAGCAGCGCGGGGCCGCGGCGCCGGACGGGGATCGGGAGGGGGCAGAGCCGCGGGAGGAGCCGCCCGCCGCGCCCCAAAAGCAGGAGGCGGCCCCGGGCAAGGCCCGTCTGCGCTTCCAGGTGAGGAGCGGGGCTTGGGGCGGGGGCCGGGCCGCGCCGCGCGTCGCCCTCGGTAACGGCCGTCTCCGTCAGTTCCTGGAGCAGAAGTACGGCTACTACCACTGCAAGGACTGCAACATCCGCTGGGAGAGCGCCTACGTCTGGTGCGTGCAGGGCACCAACAAGGTACGTCCCGTCCCGCCCGGCCCCTCGCCGCCCCCCCGTCCCGCGCACGCTGACCGCCCCGCGCCCCGCAGGTGTATTTCCGTCAGTTCTGCCGCACCTGCCAGAAGTCCTACAACCCGTACCGCGTGGAGGACATCACCTGCCAGGTAACCTCCGTCCCCCGCACCCCCGGGCCGCTCCCCGCTCCCCCGCTGACGCCGCCTCTCCGCAGAGCTGCAAGCAGACGCGCTGCACCTGCCCCGTGAAGCTGCGCCACGTGGACCCCAAGAGGCCGCACCGCCAGGACCTGTGCGGGAGGTGCAAGGGGAAGCGCCTCTCCTGCGACAGCACCTTCAGCTTCAAATACATTATCTGAGGAGGAGGGGGATTTTGTTTGTTTAGGGCTCTTCCAGGGGAACTGCAGGCTCCGCAGGTTGTTTTCCGTTGTTGTTGGTTGGGTTGAGGGTGGCTGGGAAAGCTGCGAGTAAAGATTTGGTGAAGCCTCTGTTGGTCAGGTGGGGCTGTGCCCAGTTTGGGGGTGTGCGTTGAGATTTTGGTAATTGTGTAAGGGAAGAGCCCGCAAATACTGGTTTGCGAATTAGTGACAGCCTGGGCTGCGGCCAGCTCAAGGCTGTGTGGAGTCTCAGACAGGAAAGAACGCTGGTTACTCATCCTGCATGGGAAGCTCAACCACTTGTGCATCAGGCTGACATCCACCGTGGGTGGTGGAGCACATCGCAAAGGGGGCCATGGCGGTATTCAGTCACTGTGTACATTGGTGCTGCAGGGCTCCTGCCCTGCTGTTCCTCTCTGGAAGAGGCTGAGAATGACTGTGTAGAAGTCAGGCTGCTGCTCGTATGGCTGCCCGGGCTTGGCTGAGCTCGTGTTATAAGTTGAGAGCACATGCTGCTTGGGGTGGTGTTAATTTGTCTTCAGAAGCAGCTATCACTGGCTGATGGCGAGAGAGTTTTTGATGTTACGCATCAGGTGAACAGAAACTTTGGGTTATTGGGAAAAATGGCACTTGAAAGGCTCTAGGTGACCTGCATCTGCCCAGCTTCCTCTGAACCTTCAGGTGCTGCACAAAGAGCTGCACATGTGGTGGTGTGTGCTTGGGGTCTTCTGCCTCCTGTCAGGGAAGGAGCAGATCACTGCCCATCTGGGATGGGGTTTGCAGCTAGAGGTGATGCACCTGGACTATTTCTGCTGCTAGGGTGAGGTCTCCATGGGGATGAGCATGTTTCAGTGGTGTTATGCACATCAGCATGCTACAGCAGTGCCACCTGCACAGACAACTCAGGGAAACCTGTGTCCCACTACATTCTACCTCATAGCTAAGGAGTTGGGTAAACAATGGAGAAATGTATACTTTCCTGAGAATGTGAATAAAGCTGTTACCTTTGAAATTAGCACTACACTGGACTGAGTCTTGTGGAGAACTCTTCTAAGGTGTCTTTCTCTAGAGAACTGATTTTTACTCCATCGGGAGTGGCTGAAGGTGAGCAGTCTGTGTCTGTGCTGCTCTCAGAGAGGCTATGGTATGGTGAGGAGGCAACTGCTGTGCTTGCCAGTAGAGAATGCCTGCCAGGGGGCAGTGTTAATGCTACAGCTCCTCTAGAATGGATGTAATTCATCCTGCTGTCAGTTCCTGCATTAAGTGTGTCCCTTGAACTTACTGCAGTAACTCTTTGTAGTTTTGTAACTTAAATCTTTTGCAGTAAGAGTACAATATATCGCCAGCAATTGATTGCTCAGTAACTTCACTTATGCATGCTTCACTAATTACTATATCAGCATGATGTGTTCTAGGAATAGGCAGAGTGCTACTGATTTTTTATTTTTTTTTTTTCCTACAGCAACACAAGTTCTGTGCCATATCAAGGCAGCTGACAGAAGTAGCAGTTCAGCTCTTCCTATGTACACAGCTCTCCTCACAAGCATGGCTTTGAGGGCTACTTGCTGTGGAGTTACCAGCAATAGCCAGAGTGGAAATGCAATACAGCTGGGCACTGCTGCCTTGGAAGGCACACAGCTGGTGCTGAGAGCCCAGCTGATCTTCAGGAAAGCTCCTTCAGTGGTGAAAGAGGGACAGGCTGGCCCTACCTGCTGCTGCAAGGTCCTTGGGTGTGGAGGAAGGGGAGTGCAGCAGGCAGTGCTGTTAATGGTGTTAAACAGGATTTCCTTTGTGCTGTGCTGGCTCCTAGTGCAGCAGTAGCTATGTCACTCCTCCAACAAAAATATATTCACTGCTTTTATTGCTTGCTGTACAGTTCTGCATTCTTTCCCGCTTTACTGCTCTGTCATGTCTTTGACAGCACATGCTGTGTTGTGGGCCCTAGTTCCTCAATTCATCAGAAAGAAGGGAAGCTGATGGTGACCTGTGTGATTATGCAGAGCAGAAAGGAGCAGACTTGTCAGCTCTTCAGAGATATCTGGAGTGTGCGCTGCACAGCTTTTCCATGTAAAGGTGCTTTTTGCTCTGGTAATACTGCACTCAGTGCATCTTAAAGATGTCAGACGTGCCAGGTTTCAGACAGCCTTCAGTACAGCTGTGTTTAGCATGCTGCTGGCACCGGGTGAGAATGAGTCATTTGGGAAGTGGCAATCAGCAAAAAGAGCAGCACTTGGCATGGTCTGATGGCCTCTGGGAGAAGGGGCTGTGAGCAGCCAGGAGTGAAGGATGGGGCCTTGTAAGACAGAACAGGTGGCACAGCGGAGGTCTGGAGGTGGTTCTTAACCCACAGTGAAAGAGGAAGCGTGCACTAAGAAGAAATACCCAGTCACTGAGGTACTATGATTTATGCTCCATAGGGCAGGTATGCAGAAATGGAGTTGTGAGGAGTCTTAGAAATTCTGTTCACGTTCTCAGAAGATGCCATGGACCAGATACGAGGGGAAAAAAAAAAACAGGAATTCCATTCTTCTGTAGTCAGCATTTAGCTTAAGTACTTAAATGCTCCTAAAAATATATGAACTTCTGGCCTGTAAAAGTACACGAGATGACAGATACAATGTCTTTTTATTTTTACAAAAAAAAAAACTGGTAAAAGATGATGTAAATAAAAGTGTAATGCGCCACTAAATGTAACCACTTATCCCCCTGTAAATACTTATTAAATAATTAAGAACACCAGCTACAGTACCACAAAACCATCAAAATAATTCCATTTTATCAGGGTCAGGAAAAAAATACAGTGATTATGGATGTGCCTTGACCGGTTACAGAGCTTGTTAGGATAATGTAACTACTGTCAGCAGCCCAACAGTGTGCACAGTGCCTTCAGTTAATGCGCTTCAGTACAATTAATTACATTTCTAGTGGGGTTCAATTCCCCCAGAAAGGCAGAGCTAAGAATTTCAGTTCTACATTCTAAACTCTGGAATTAGAGCCCATTAAAAAAAATCACAGTGGGTAAGAGATGTATATAAAAATACTGGGTGTTCCTTTCAAATCACAGGAATCGTGGGACTACATTCTTTTTTTTCTTCTTCTTTTTCATTTTTTTTTATTTTTATTTTTTTACAAAATGCTGTTGGTTTCAACAGAATCCAGTTTGTTTTATGCTACAGACTTTGACACTGAACTAGAAGAATATTGCCTGTTTGTGTGGTTTGGGAGGCAATCCTTTTGTCTGTATAGTCCCAATTCCTTAGGCTTACCTTGAGCCATGTATGTGCATTCAGACTTTCTGCTTGAAGCCTGCAGGCTACTCAGACTGCAAGTCATGTATGTGACTACCCAGAGTGAGAACTCCCCTTCCCCTCAGCTTTATACACTAATGTCTTAACAGTGCATTGCACAAATTTACAAGAAAAATACTGGTTTTGCACTATACAGTTTCTAGAATATTTACAGAATAAAATAAGTTAACTTCTAATGAGAATTGCTGATGGGCAGCATATATCTTTAATATACATTTTAAAGTCTCTGCAGGCAGCTACTTTTTGGTTAGTTGTTATCAATATTTGTAACATAAGCACTGATCAGAGAACTGAGCAGCATTCCAATAAAGTTAACAGATATATTATTTCTTTTAGAAACACTGGGGAATCCCAGTTTAAAATATTATTAAATGCCCTAACATTTACACGCTATGAGGATTAGATCTAATAAAATAAAATTTCTTCAAAAATAATCTTGCAGCTCTCACAAGCATGCTCTGAGACCTCATTTAACAATCATCCATACCTCCAAAAAACAACTGTCACATAGCCATACATACCAACTCACACACATCGTTTCCTCGTTACGGACAACAAAATTAAACACTGAGAAGTCAATGTTTTTTGCAGGCAGAAGCCCTCCTGCTCGTATTCGACCGCACACTCTCCATGATGCTGCAAAGTGTCTCATTAGGTATCAGTTGATGATTATATCTACTGCTGCTGGAAAGCCAGGGAGCGTTGCAGGTCTTCAGCCAAAATAAACCAGCCTTGATTTTAGCCTCATCCCACCTGCAGTATTGATTCAACATTTAGAGGCTGTTACTGCAAACACCACGTATAGTTCTGTTACAACAGAAAATAATGCATATGTATGCATTACATTTAAGCCCTTTTCCTTTCATGTAGGTTTTATACATACATTTAATTAAAAAAATACTACTGCCACACAGCTACTGTGTAGAAAGAGCAGTTAAGTAAGATGTTAACTTCCATTTTCAGATTCTTTACTTCTGAAGAACTAAATTCCAGCTGTGATGAAAGTGGGTCATTTGTCAGGATTGCTGCAGTTTCTTTTCTGTGTTCTTTGTTTCTTTTTGTTTCAAATGAAAGGTGCTCAATAATAGTCAGAAGCATCTTCAGTATCAGTTCTCTTCTAAATGACAGCTGTTCAGAATCCAGTGCTCACAAGACTGACTCCTGGTTTGATTTTCCCTAGAAGGTGATAGGATTGCACCATGCGTAGAGACTCCCGAATTTCTAGATTAAGTTCCATCAGCTTTGAGCTGGCCTCAGACATATCCTGGTTGGAGCCCACTACTGCAAAGCTCCCAGTCTGACCAAGTGTCTGATGACGGAAATATATGTGCAGCAGTGTTTGGATGGGGTCATCTTCTGAACTGCCAAAGATGTCGTGGGGCCAAATGGATCTGTGGACACACAATTTGTATTTAGATGTTAAAAAAAAAAAGTAATTAAGGATTCTTAAAACGGGGATCTGAACAGAAGATATGGAGATGCAAGAGGAATGTTTTTTCTGTAGTCCTGATAGTGAACAGTGTGATTTTTCACAAAGCCAAATTCTGAAGAACAAGTATTCCTACAATTGCCTTTTTTTAAATCAAAAAATGCCAATGAACATGCAATAATTAATCACCTGTGCTTGTCTTTTGCAGTGAGAGTATCTAGCAATAGCTGAAAAAATTGGAATAGTGCCTATCCCTGTCTTTAAAACAGCCCATTAGCAAATTCTGGCCTGAAAGCATAATCCTTATGCACACACCTGAAAGCCTTGACCTGTGCTACAGCTGACACAAACTCCTTGCTTCTCAGGGCTTCAATGAGGGAGTGAATCGCTGTTTCTGTGCTAGCTTGGGAAGCTTCTGCAATTTCAATTTCTTCGATACCACTGTCAGATGCAGCCTCAGCCTCTTTCAGACAGCTCTCCAAAAGAGCAAGTTCCTCAGACATATTTATGACCTGAAAGAAATACAAAAGTAAGCTTTTCTAGTTTAAATATATCTTTAGCTAAATTAAGCTTCAGCTGGTCAGACACACACATTTTTCCTCCTTGGTACAATCCTAAATAAGATACACAAAAAGTAATCCCACTAATTGCTTCAGTTCCTTATACATACAGCCAGCTTAATGGCCCAAGTGTATCAGGTGTTTCAGCTTTCCCCAATGAAATTTCCATCTTTGTCAGTTCTTTAAAATTTGTTCCAAAAAGTACATTTTTCTTTTCATATCACTTAACAACAATTAAGTTGATATGAAACATTAAACGCTTTGGAAAGTACAACAGGAGTTGTGTTGTTACAATGACAACCTCAACACAAAGAAAAAATCTGTAAGAACTCACAGCCCAGCAGAATAACTAATTCAGATAATGTATATAATACCATCTTTTGCTTTAGCTCCAGCATATAAGTGAAAGACAAAAGCATGCTCAAAACAAGATTCTGCAACTGACTTCAGAATTCAGGCTGGTGTGACGCTGACCTTCCGTGACGTTCTTCATACAAAACAAACTCACTCATTTGCAGCCCCAACAAAAATCTGGGGATCTAAGTAACACGCATCATTTTTTTCCTAAACCAAAGGCTTCCACTCCTCTTCTTTGTTTTCCTCTCCACTACATCAAGCAATACTTTTTTCTTTTAAAATGCTTCCTCTATTGCATTACAGTCCCGTGGGAGAACGTTGAGAAGATTATTAACATTATTAACAGTGTAACTCATTCAGATAAACTCGATTAAGATCCACGTGTGCACAGCTGAATGACGCATTTTGCTTCTAAAGTTAGTACACCTCAAAATCAGCCACAAGACACCCAGCACGCATTACTAACTGCACACAGGTTGGGACTAGGGTTGCAGTGAAACTGAATGGCAGGTGGCATGATGCAGTTCGGTGATTGACTGGTAGTGAGTCACTGTGTTCCTGACAGGAAGCGCTGGGGTGACGGAAAGGGGCTTCATCACAGAACTCTGCTGGTTGAATTTGTTGTAGCTTGATTAGCAAACGCCAAGAGTGCTACTGAAATATTTCAAGTCCTCATCGCTGGACTCCCTGCCCTCCTGTGTAAGAGCTTTCAAGTTGTACAAAAATCAACGCTGATTATTGCACATCTCAGAAAATTCCTGCAAGTTCTACTTAGATCTTTCAGTAATTAGCTATAGAGTAGCAGGGTACCCTCCTGCAGTTTTTAAAAAGATGTCCTGCTGAAAAACACGTTACCAAAATGTATTCAAAGTGATTTGGCTTTAAAATGTCAACAGCAAGTAGCTAAATGGCATGATTTTCATTACCTCTGCTTCTTTTTTGATTGTGTTTACTTGGCTGATAAGTTTGCAGTAGGCTTGGAACAGAAGCAACAACTGGAAATGCAATTTGTACAGCCTCCGACATAACTCCAGTTCCTACAAATGTAAACAATGTC